CATGAAATTTGACTTGGTACTGAATCTCAATCAATCATTTTTCCATCAAATTTCCCAAAGTAAAAACTTGTGTCATTGTTTTTAATTTAAGATCTTGATCTTTAAGTTTAACCATACAAAAGTATGGTAGATGCTTTTGTCGAAAAATTTAGGTGGAGCGAGAAGACTTTCCTGCCAGCCTGATAGCTGCAACGGTTAGCAGAATAAAATCAATGACTAGTCAGTTTGAAATAAAAAGGGAAAAATGGGAATGAGGACTTTTGAAGGAACACCGAGAAAGGCACAAAATTTGAGTGATTTCGGAAAATGTCAAGGAAGTAAAGTCTCTGATGAAAGAAATGTCTTTGAAAAAAGGGGAAAAACTTAAAGTTTCAGAAATTCCGCTTTCATGTGATATGTGCAAAAGTGAAAAGGCAAAGAAAAACAGGGAGAAAATGAAGAAAGACTCAAATCCACGTGAATTAAATGATTTTCAAAAGTTGAAAGCCAAACCAACAAACGAAACAAAGAACTGAGCCTGGAATTGCTGGAAATCGGGAAATTTTCGTTGGCTCTAGTGGAAAAACTCTTGAAAATGTGTAACTTGTTGCAAATTTCAGTTCCAAAAGACGGAAAACCCTAAAAAAAGCTACTTTCTTCCACTAGAGCCCTAAATGAGTCATGAAATGCCACTAAAAACGTACAATGTTACGAGTTTCGATCCACTTGGTGCAGTAAATTGTCAAGAGTGTCGGGGATCGATGGTGAGATCTCGGGATTTCAACCCCTCGGGAAGGGGGTTGAAAAATAGAAGACCCGGGTCTTCTATTAGTTTTTACGGTATTCAACTCTCAATGGGCAAAGGGTTGACGATTGCATTTTAGCAAATCATTAGCATGTTAAAATATTTAATTCATTGAACAATAAGTTAACTACTCCCGAAATTATTGCTCCTACTACAAGTCAACTTCTACTCTTGCAACACCTCGACGAATTCCCTCACCTCCTCCTCTTCGACGACTTCTCCCTGATCCAGCTGCATATCGTCATCATCTCCACTTTCATCATCCTCATCTCTCTCGTCATCTTCTTTGATGTGATCGATCGTGTGACTCGGAAAGGATAAACGAAGCGGGGGCACCGATTTCTCCTCTTGGTTCACGACGGACATCACCGGCAACGAGACGCGTCACTGGTTGATCGCTCGAGACGAGGACCGACCTGGAGGTTTCTAAAGCAAAGAAAGAATATGATTATTGAATCTACTAAATACGTACCTTTTGCTGTGGCATTTGATTGAACGGTGTTGTTTTAGCTGGCAATGAGAGACGATTCTAAACAAATCAAGTAAAAACAGTCATATCCCTTAAAAAAAAATACCTGTTTCGCTTTCTTGTTCGGTGGTTGGGTGAATCGAGAGGAATCCTGTGATGAGTCCACACCGGAAGCCGTTCTTTTTCGTCCACTCAACGATGGCGGAAGATCAGATTCGAACTAAAATAAGAAATAAGAATTTGGGTGTAACAATTGTTTCAAAAAAGCTTTTAAGGCTTAAAACGAATAATACAGTTAAATTCTTTAAAAACCTACATCCAAGTACTTTCTCGGCGGCCGGTGCTCTCGACGTCGGCGATTCGTCGGCGTCTCGCTTTCAATTGGAGTGGGCGCAATCTGTAGCAACTTAATCAGCATTTGATTGCAGATTGGCTTTGATATTATAGCTTGTAACTATATGATACTATCCGCAAGTAGTACTAACTTAAATGATCACATCGTTAGATGTGATGAGCCTTTACAGCTATGACAGCTAATATCAGGTTGGCAACTAAATAATGGCCCTTTTCAGTAAAAACAAAAAATTTATTAACAAGATGAACAAATATCAACATCAATCCAAAAGGTATTCTCCGTCATTCTTTATTACTTCTTTCCACTTTAGACGGAGCAACTGGATACCTCTCTTGAAAACTTCTTCTGGTTGATCGTCAAAGAACTTCTGCACTGAAATTCGGACTTCGTCAAGGTCATTGAACTTTTTCTCGGCTAGAAAGTGTTGCATCGATCGAAAAAGATGGTAATCACTAGGCCCCATATCCGGGCTGTATGGCGCATGAGGAAGAACATTCCAGCCCAACTCCTCGATTTTCTCCATTGTAAGTTTTGCAGTGTGTGGTTTTGCGTTATCATGGAGAAAATGAATTGAAGAGGGTTCGAGTCCTTGAGAGCGAATTGCTTGATCTACACGATGTAGTTGAGACGAATAGAGTTCTGAATTAACCGTTTGCCGGCTTTTGAGAACCTCGAAATGCACCAACCCACGAGAACTCCACCACACACAGAGGAGAGTTTTCTTTGAGTGAATATCCGGCTTCGGCGTTGGTTTTGGGTCTTCGTTTGTGCTAAGCCACTGTCGTTTTCGCGTTCGATTATCATAAAAGATCCATTTTTCATCAGAAGTGACAATGGAATCCAAGAAGCTTCCCTTTTTCGCAAGTTTTAGTAGTATTCCAGCTGTGATAACACGAGTAGCCTTATTTTCTTCGCTCAATTCTTGCGGAATCCACTTTCCACTGCGGTTACTTTTCCCCAATGCATGAAGTCGCTTTTCGATTGCAGTATGCGAAAGGCCCAATCGATCCCCTAGCTCGCGTGATGTTTGACTTGGATCCTCCTTTAAAGCTGCTTCCAAAATATCGTTCTGCAGAAGTTCGGGTCGTCCTTGGCGAGGCTCATCTTCAAGACTTTCATCCCCTTCCTTGAACCGTCGATACCATCTCTTACATTGTGTTTCGGAAAGAGCTTCATCACCAAAAACGCGCAATAAATCTCTGTGGGATTCGGCAGCTGTTTTGTCTTGTTTGTAGTCGTACCAGAGACAGACACGCATTCGATATTTGAGATCTTCCATTTCTAAACAAAATTATTTGAAAAGTATCAAATCAAGGAAAGTAAAAAACGTATAATAATGCACCAGAAATTCAGTAATATTCAATTAACAACAAGCGAGGGTAGATTAAACGCAAAGATTAAAAGATTTTATCAAAAAAGGGCGAGGGCCATTATTTAGTTGCCAACCTAATAGCTCCAAAAAACTAAGCACTTTTGATTTAGGAGCAGCCCTGATTATAAGCCTAACTTGTTACCAATACTGACCTTAAGCTCCACGTTTATTCCCCCAAACCCACCGGAGAGACAAGCGGCTTGCTGGTGTGCAAAATTGACGGTTGATTCGCAGTCAACGGCGTTCTCGGTGATGGCTTTCCAATTGGGATCAACGGTGCGATCGGAGTGAATGATTTGCGCCGATTTGTTGTCATCATCGGTGCTGGTGGCGGCGGGGAGAGGGCACGCGGCTTTTGAGCTCTCGTCGACCTTTCCGGTAGAACCATCGGCGAGAGAAGCGGAGCCTAGATGCATACGTTTATCTACGGAATAAAATCAATTCCAATTAGACATCCTTTTTAATGAATGAACAGAATCCTTACCGAAATCCTCCTCGGAGCCACAGCTTTTGGTCTCTCATTGTGCAGTTCGGATTTGACACTCAAAAAGAGACTGTCTCGATAGGTGAAACCAATAACCCACTCATTTTCCGGGACCATATTTTGATCCTGTCCAAAGAGTGGCAGAGCGGCAGGCACTTCTTTCTAAACTTTTCACTTAATTGCGAATCTTATCCAATTTTTGATGCTTTTAGACCATAAAGCTGTGTACAAAGTTCAGTTTAACGGTTTGGAATTTGATTTTTTTGATTTTTCCCCCGTTAACTCACCTTAACCGGCGGTTTCTTGATTGCAACTTTCTTTGGTGGTCGTCCTCGCGCTTTCTTTGGTAGAGCCGACTTAAGCCCTCTACCCACTGCGCCGCCACTCCACATTTGACTGGGACTGAGGCAACTTTCTGAGGGAATCCCATTTCGGCCAGGAAGATTTCATTTCTTGGCTACAAATTTAAAACGTTTGTAACTTTTGATAGCGGGCCATTTTGCAACAACGAAAAGCAGGTTCGGAATCAGGATAAAATTCTGCATCGCACCAACGGGGTCCCAATGCAAAAGCTCGCCTTCATTCAGTGCACTTCCCTTCCGAGTTTACCCTGTTTCTTTGTACTTGTGAGCAAGTTTAAGCGATTCATCGTGCATGTGTAAGTTGTGCAACAAACACCACTTACACAGTTTAAATATACCGCATTCATAAAGCGTTGAAAAATCGAGCAAAATATAAATATAAAAATAAAACAAAGCCAAGTGTTGAGTGTCAAGTGTCAAAATAAAAAGTTCACCTTAAGTGGGTGCACTTCCCTTGTTGGAGTTTTGTGTAACAAAATCGTAAGCATTTTGATTGAAAGATTCTGTTAATTGAAACGTGTGAACAACGAAAAGTTAACAAGCACACCGTACATTTGAACACTGTAGGCCTAAAACCAGCGCTTTTGTCGGAGTGAAAATTTTCATTAAGATGTTGACTATTGGCTATTGATCTTCTTTTTATAATATGCACTATTGATAATGATCTTTATCGTATTCAGTGAAGGAGTTTGGCAATTGATTTGAGTTGCTTTTTTGCCAATATCAGTTGCTTGTGCAGTTTAGTTAGATTTAAATCGGTGAGGTATAGATTCTTTAATCTTGAAAAATCGAGCAAATAAAGAATCACAGGACTCGATACGGAGTAAAAATAATCGAACGTTGAGAGCAACCAACCAACTAACTCGAAGAAATAGAAACTTTCAAAGATGGTTTGCACTTGATGATTCTCAAACATTCAAGAAGGTCAATGACTAGCAGCAGGTTAATGGAAAAAGGTTCACAAAATCAAGACTATGGCATACAAGTGTGTAAAATGTGGGTAATCACTGAAAGGAAATCAAAGGAAATGAAAGCTCAGAAGGATGGAAAAACCGACAGAATTCTTCGGAAAATCACAATAGGGCCTAGGAAAAAGGCAAAAATACAAATATAACTATGGATATGATGCGTCAAAATCGATAAAGATGAGCTTTGCGTCCTCCGATCTATCTACCCGTTCAACTCCCCATAAGAGCAATGTTTCAGTGGCTTTGAGATGGCAATAATAACGGAGAGGGTCCACCCATTGAAGACGAACGAGATCACGAACAAAGATACCTGAAAATGAAAAATTCTCGCGTAGTTGATAAAACATTAACAACAGAATACTAACCATCAACATATTTTTAAGCTTCAATCGTCAATGAATCATGTTATGTCGTTATAAACCCCAGTGTAGATAAAAACTTGAAGTCCGGATTTTATAGCCAATCGTCCGGATTTTATGTTCTATAGTCCTATAGGTAATTTAAAACAGCATACCTTTCTCCGCATCCCACAGCTTCACCACATCATCCGAACCTGTCACCAAAAGTCCGGAGTCGAGCCATTGCATTGAAGAGATGAGCGACGTCTGACCATTTACGCCATGTAAGTGGTGAATGCACGAGTCACCCTCACGAATGTCCCAAACCTAAAGAAATGGAAGTAGTTTTCATAGGATTGATTAAACATACAAAAATGTCCGAGTCGTAATACCAGGCCAAAATGTTTCCGCGAAGCTGCATCCCAAAGTAACTTGTGAACTCTAACTCTTGAATCCAGACAAGATGTGCGATGCATGCTGAAAGAAACAAATATAGATGACATTGTAACAGAATAGTGAAAAAGTAAAACCCACCTCCTCTTTGCACATCCCAGACCCGAATTGTTCCGTCACCACTGCTCGACACGACAAGATCACGCTGTGACTCAAACTAAAGCAGAATCCTGATTAAAGCCAACATTTGACAACTCAACTTACCAAAAGAGAAATGATCGCTCCCGTGTGACCCGTCAGCGTGTGCAAACACTCCTCCGTGTGTACATTCCAAACCTAACAGAATATTATAAATCGCACTAGTAACTGTACGAACCTTTACGGTAAAATCCTGGCCATCAAATACGACCCGTTCTCCATCAAATTGCAAACAATACTGAAATTTAGCTTTGTTTAAGCCATAACTATAATACACATACCAAAGCCTCGACAACCAAAATGTGAAGGCAGTTTCCGTCGACAATGTCCCAGACTCGGATTGTTCGATCCCCCGAACAGGAAACAAGGCTAAGAGATTATGATCTTAGCTAAAAAAAGAAAATTCAGACGACTCACGTTGTGCCATGTAGACTCATGCATCGAACCCAATCCGTATGTCCCCGCAAAAGATGAAGCTGTGCGCCGGTTTGACCACAGAAAACGTCCACCGTTCCATCATAATCGCCACTGAGAGCTTACAATAGACTTTGTTGTCATAAGAATTTTTGTTTGAATCTTTTTAGCTTCATTGGCAAGACTTATGAATTGCACTAGCTATAGTATATTAACTAACCAGACAATGTATTTGCCATCTTCGCTCACTTGATACGAATCACCAATCGTCTCTGGCGAGTTAGAGTAAAAGCCGGCAAAATTAAGACGTAAAACAATAGTGAAACGAAACAAACTTGAGCATCATCAACATTCCAGACCCGCAACGTATTATCATCAGAATCAGTAACAATACGACCAGAGCGAACTTGTATCTCTCCCTGAAAGCTGTGTCCATAGACCTAAAAACAATTCTTATAGCCAAAACATTTGTTTGAACCATTTGGACAGTGCTAGATTGAATCGCCCGGGATCGCCAATTCGAAATGATTCGCTTCTTTCGCAAGTACAGCGACTTCCATGGCGAACGCTCATAACATCTAGAAAAAACTTCATTTCGCAACAAGTTGGGTCACTAACTGTCCATATGCGATCTCGCGTGCCTGTCGATTCTGCTGTGCTTCTTGAAGGTCCATATGTGAACAGATCGTTATTCCCGCTGGCTCATTTGCTCGATTCGCCGCCCAACCTCCGAGAAAACGAAAACTAAAGAAACAAGTTTGAGACGAGCCTTTTTACAATCGATTTCCTAAACATGAAACAGTTCATCTAAATAAACATTATCATATGTTTTCTCTCGCTTTATATCCTTGTTTCCTTTGGAATGAATAACATTATTGTCCTATATTTTACCAGTCTTAAAATCTAGCTTAATATAAATCTATCAGAGATGTACTTTTAATTGTTATCTTATCGGCTCAAAACTGTAACAAACCTTGGCACATCAAATTCCACATATCCGTTGTCGAAACATTTCTGTCGCCAGGTCTGATCATCTTCACAAATCCGTTGCCACGTCCTCGAAACGCCAGCACAAGTCATCAAATCGCACGGTGACAAATGGGCGACGATGCGATAAGCAATCTAAAAATCAACAATTACGCCCACAGCCTTTAACAGACCTCTTTTGGCAATTGTGCCAAAAAGTCCTTTTGGAACAACGGTTGGTTCGGTTCCACTTGGATATTGGCTAAGCCACTGGGATTAGCCTCGAATTGAGTCTTGCTGCTCTCTGGTCTGTTCGACATCTCCCCTAAATGAAAAATTATAGCAGAGATAACATCGTAATTAATATTAGGAAAAGTTCCCGAACAAAATACTATTACTAGCTCCTGTGAATACTGTAATAGTAGCACCCGTGTGGCACGCACTAGAGGCTGGTGGGGTACTTTCACAGTATTTAAGGTATATACACCTGCTAAACGAATTGAAAAGAATGAAATTTATGGCAACAAGTCTCCTTAAATATACGAAAGGAGCACGTTTTACAACGCGCCATCAAGGGGTTTACGGTAGAATGTACACAAAACCATATTTGGTGGTTCCACTTTTCAAAAAACTCTTTTTCATTGCGCTTTTAGCCCTTCACCCACAAAATAGCCTTTTGTGCACATTCTCGTAGGTAAGGCAAAGTTTATCGGCAGAATTTAGAGCCCCGTTCGGGTGTTGGAAATGCGGGCGGCGAAAATTTGCTTCTAAATTTATTTCTACAAATGAATTTGCCTATTTTTGTGGGTAGTTTGAAAGTAGTTGAAATTTCACAAATTTTGGAACACTTTATTTGTAAGGGAGGACACTCGTACATTCCCAGATTTTTTTTGATGGAAAAAAATCTGAGAAACTCTTCACTGATCTATACAAGGAAATTGACGCTTACGATTTTAAAACTATTATAATGCCAAAAAATACGTTAGTTGCATGCCATACTCTCTCAGCATCGGTGCGTTGAAGGTGAATTTATCAGGATTGGGGAAAACTGCATTATCGCCCCCCACTGAAGAAGCCCTCGCCCTCCCCCTCCGCCCACCGCTGTAGGATCCGCCCCCAGATAGAACGCGCCATCAAAAGTTTTATGGTAGAATGTAAACAGCGGTGGGGGGCGATAATTCATTCCCCGGAAATCCTGAATTACTCCCCCACACTGTATTATCGCCCCCTTCCCCCCTGGGAAACCTGCAGCGTTGCCCTCCACGCAAAACGAAAAACCCTTATAACACTACTTACTGAAAACAAATACCCCTTTAATACAATTATTTCACTAATAGATTTTACATTTTTAAAAAATCCTCACCGTGTTCAATTGGATACTTGAGCGTCAAGATGCCTCGCTTGGATTGAGCCTCATCATCGACGTAGGAGTCCTTTTGCCCCATTCCAACCATAACCCCTTGATGGCGAGGGCGACCGACGATTGACGGGAAGACGGCGCGCGGAGCATCATCACCAGCAAAGCCAGCCTAAAAAGAATTAGTACCGTAACTTGAACAAAACTTAAACTAAAACCAGCTTAAGTAGTTTGACGTTAAAAAAACAGTTACCTAGGCAATGTATAACAAGTTAAACAACAGTTCGCCCTGCTCAGGGGCTACGAGATCCAAAAGTTCACCTTGCACATTCCGGATCCGTTGTCAACCACGAGTGCAGCCACTTCTTCGTCGCACATTTTGTCCAAAGCGAGTTGATCAGTTGCAATATCTGAAAGGATACAAACTAGGGTGCTTCGAAGTGAGGACAAATACCGAAATGAAAAGTGCTTCCACTAAGGCAGAAGGGGTAAAGAGAAACAATTAACGCAAGAATTGAGATTTGGAGGATCCAATGAATCAGGATTGACTTAAGCGTCGGAAAATTGAATTCTAAATAAAATATAACTCCTGAACTGCTACGAAGCTGTGGGCTTCAGCTTCAACTATAAAGCTACAAAAGCTTTGGTACTTTGGTGGTTAAGAGGGGCCACTTTTATCCTGGCTTAGTTACATCTAATCTTTTTTGAGTGGTTGTAACGATACCTTTTATCTATTCTAGGGTAATCAAAAATGTTTAATAGATAGCTTGATCACTATTGATAACAGCTCTCTTCAAGTCCAATAAAACACTATAAAACAGTTAACTCGCTTTTGTTAGGATAAAATTACGAAATTCTGGATGTCGTGCTACATAAAGAAGCTATGTTACGGTATCTAGATCACTTTTTAGCTCTCCACCCTTCGTGACCTCGATCAAGTACACGAGCGTGGCCAGCGCTCCGTTCTTCTTCTAGACGATTTTGTGAGCAATTTGTAAGATCTGTAAGTCACTAGAAAGATTGCTTAGAAAAAAACTTTACTTTTACTGTAAACTTCTTTACCATTTACCCTAAACCTCAAGCTTTCCATTTTTGATAATTTGACTATTTGCCTCCTATTTGACACATCCATTCAGAAGCGGCGCCTGGCCTGGCCTTGGTCACTGGGGCTGGAATTCGACCAGACCTACCAAACCTGGCATTCGACCTGGCTCTAGACCTGGAATTCTGGAATCCGGTGGTCAATTTCCTATTCCAAAACCTTGAACACACCCGTTTGCGGCTGTCTGGAAACTAGCGCAAAAGTGTTGGTTGCGGTGTGCACAAGCCATAATTCGTGCTCACTGCCTCGTTGTTTTGTAAAGAGTCAATCACCTGAAAACATTCTAGATTTCAAAATTGTATGTTAGATTCAATAAAATGAAAGATGAGACGATTTCAAGAAAGACTTGCCTATGAGATGTAGTTCTTCGTCGCGTTTCTGATGTTGTTCATCGCCTTTTCGACCGTATTGCTGTCGAGCTCGATTCTCTAGATTGATCAAGGTTATTTTGAAACTTGTGGCTTCTTTTCTACTAGGATTTCTACTAGGACTATAGACTACTCTAGCTGAAAGCAGCTCTAGCTCTATTAACAGTCAGCTCAGGAGAGGTTGGTCAAGCAATAGTCAGCTCATCACCAGTTCTGACCAAACTTGGGCTGACGTCTGGCCTTGGAAATCTCTCTAATGATAACCGATCGCTCGGCGTTGAAGATCACTTTAATGAAGAAATCCTCGTCGAGATCTCTTTTCATCAAATTTCCCAACCAATTAATATCGTATTTTCCTTTGAGAGGCGTCAATACTGAAACTAGGCAATTCATAAAGTAAAAAGTTTATTTAAAAGTTTAAATTGAAACTCACAGTTACTACTCGAGATCTTGAATACAAGCAGTAGAACAGACTGCACATTTTCCATTGAATGATGGCAAGCTTCCGGGAAATTCAGCGCTGAGTCGATAAAATGTTCAAGAGCCGTTGCGAGGGTTGTGCTAGATTGCTATATTATTGCCAAGTCGGCTCGGCAATAAGCTAAGCCAAATGTAACTTACTGCCCCATTCTTGGGCCAATAGACCAACCGATAGATCAGCCATTATCGAAAGCAAATCAGCTCACTTGGATCTCAAAGCGTTGACGCTACGAATGTTGTTGTATTGTTTGAAAGGCGTCACATCGAAAAATTCTCTATTGCACAATTTTTTTTTGTTTAAAAGAACAATGTAGCTATGTATCGTATTCACTCAAAACAATTAAGGAATATGCAAAATAATCACTCAAGTGTGCGGGAGAGTCGAACCAACAACCCCATACTTTTGCGCGGGATTCACGTCGCGCGCCTTAGACCACTCGGCCACGGTTTCCCCTTATGCAAAATTTCTTTAAAGATGTTATAACTTTTTGTAGAGTTGAGCAAATTTGATGATTTTTGTATCAAAATGTTCGTGAGAGTATCTAGAATAAAAATTATCCCCTCGTTTTTTGTTCTAGACCCTCGTTGTCGAGTTACGGTAAAGAAATTCCTGAAAAAGGATCGGTCAGATTCCTTGACGCCAGCTTCTCGCTTCAAGGCCTGGCCTTGTCTATTTCCTTTGTCTGCCAACCTTTGGTCTTGTCGATTAGCCTTCTCAGCCTTCTCATACAAGATCTAAACAGCGACATCAGTGATTCGAAAGTTTGCGAAATCTCGACATCTCTCAGCGTTGGCAACCCAACAATGCCAATATAAAGCATGAAACGCTGCGTGCAATTCGTGTTCTTGTGATAGATCGATACTAAAAGACTGTAGTTCATCGCACTTAACTGTTCCCAATTTCGTTTGCACCAAACCGCTCGGATGTTTCGTCCAGTGCCTCAGGCTTAATAACTTTCCAACAAGCATTCTGTCCAATTATGATGTCAATATTAACTTCTTCAACTTCGGGCACGTCTCCGATGGCCATGTTTGCTGGTGGAAGATTGGGCAACTTCATCACGTCGAGAATGAAGGCGTCAGGTAGGTTTTCGTCGAAAGCTTTCTTGTTTTGCAATAAAACTTTGTAACATTTCGTCTTGATTGAACTTTCAGCTCCAATAGCTGTTCTGATCGTTAAATCTTTGGTTGTGGAAACTTTTAACTTTAATTTTTGTACGAATCTTTTTGTAATAAAACTATCCGTTGAACCTGTGTCCAATAAAATGTTTGCACTCTCATTGATTTGGTAATCCTCATTCTTGGCAACAACTTGTAACATACTTGTGACTCGAACTTTCCGATTAATTTGGGAACTGTTATAACATAGTCAACTTGGAATTTGAGTTCAACTTTCCGAAGCCTTATTGATTGCTGTTTGCCGTTGAATTTTTGGCTGGATGACTTGCTGGCTCCTCTTTGATGGCACGAAAAAACTCCGAACCGCAGTCCATTTGTGAATTTTGAGCAAAATATCCTGTTGCGGCGGGTTGAACATATCCGTTATTCGAATTTTCTAGAACTTGTAGACGATTTAAATTACTAGCTGTGTTTTGCCTAAATGTATTAACTCTATTACCAAAATTGGGACCTGATTTCCTGCACGTGTTTGTGTGGTGTTTAACCGACAACCGACAACGACAAACCGACATTACTTTTTCCTCAACCTAATAGAAAAGGATAAAATCGACTCAACACCTGTCTCTTATGGTAAAATTCTTTGAATTCTCAAAAGTTGCTGGTATATAAAATTCAGGACAATGATAAAGTAACTTTATTGACTTTATTTTTCAATATTCAGCTTACATAATTTGGGATCGATTTTAAGAAACAATAGAATGCATTGAAAAATTCAAATTTCTAATTAATAATCATTTTTTTAGCTTCGATACCAATCTAATAACAAAATCAATCGAAAGAATCGAATTCTCACAACGAAAGCAAGAGTTTAATCTTTCTGTTTACTATTCTTTTGAAGAGTTTTATTATTCTAAACTTATTGGATTAAAGATTAAAGCCTAACGATTAAAGATTCAAAATTAATAGATCAGTGAAGAGTTTCTCAGTTTTTTTAAAAATCTATCTTTAAAATCTTAAAACAATTTAAATCTTTAAATAAATTCTGCCGATAAACTCCACTTTACCTACGAGTATGTGCATATAAGGGTCTTTTGTCGGTGAAGTGCTAAAAAGGGCAATGGAATCGAATTTTTGAGCCGCAAAGTCACCAACGATGGTTTTGTGTACATTCTACCGTCAACCTCTTTCTAAGACGTGCTCCTTTCGTATATTTAACGAGACTTTTTGCCATAAATTTCATTTCATTCAACTCGTTCAACAGGTGTATATGCCGTAAATATTGTGATAGTACCCCACCGGCCTCTAGTGCGTGCCACACTGGTGGGGTACTCTTACAGTGTTTACGGTAGTTAGTAATGGTATTTTGTTCGGGACTTTTCCTTATATTAATTACGTATTTTGTATTGGTTTATAAACAAGATTAAACATTTACAACTCAACATTGATGATAAAAAATAAAGTAACAAACAAAACAGTTGTTACCATCCACAAAAAGGACAGAATAAACGATCTTTCACAACGATCACAATAAGACCTAGGGAAATAGCAAAAATACCTATGGATATGATGCGTCAAAATCGATGAAGATGAGCTTTGTGGCCTCGGTCCTATCTACCGATCGAACTGCACATACGAGCAATGTTTCAGTGGCTTTGAGATCCCAATTATAACGGCCAGGGTCACTAGAACGAGGTCGAACGAGATCACGAACGAAGGTACCTTAAAATGGAAAAAAATTAACAACAAGACACTAAACTTTGCCATAGATTTAAGCTTGACTGGTTGACGAGACAAGTTATATAGTGAGCCAATTCTACTTTAAATGCCAGCTTGCAGTCTGGATCTTCTTGCCTATAGAATTAGGTAATTTAAAACAGCATACCTTTCTCCACACCCCACAGCATGACCGAGCCATTCATCGAACCTGTCACCAAAAGTCCGGAGTCGAGGATGTGCAATGAAGTGATGGTCGACGTATGACCATTTACGCCATGTAAGTGGTGAAGGCACGAGCCACCCTCACGAATGTCCCAAACCTAAAGAAATAGTAGTTTTCATAGGATCGATTAAACATACCCAAATGTCCGAGTCGTAATGGGAGACCAAAATGTTTCCGCGAAGCTGCAACCCAAAGCGACGACCTGCAAACGGTAAATCTTCAGGACAGCCAAGAAGTGCGATGCATGCTGAAAGAAACAAATATGACCTTGTAGCAGAATAGTGAAAAAGTAAAAACCACTTCCTCTTTGCACATCCCAGACGCGAATCGTTCCGTCACTACCCGACACGACAAGATCGCGCTCTGGCTCAAACTAAAACAGAATCCCGATTAAAGCCAAAATTCACAACTCAACTCACCAAAAGTGATTCAACTGGCCTCGTGTGACCCGTCAGCGTGTGCAAACACTCCCCCGTGTGTACATTCCAAACCTAATAGAATATTATAGATTGCACTAGTAACTGTACAAACGTTTACGGTACAACCAAGGCCAAAAAATACAACCCGTTCTCCATCAAATTTCACACAATTTTGAAATTGAGCTTAAGCCAAAACTTTGATACACATACCCAAGCAGCGACAGCTAAAATGTGAAGGCATTTCCCGTCGACAATGTCCCAAACTCGGAGTGTTTGATCGTGCGATCCAGAAACAAGACCAAAAAACATTATGATCTTAGCTAAAACAGAAAATTCAGATCACTCACGTTGTGCCATGTAGACTCAAGCATGGAATATGATCCGTATGACCCTGCAAAACATGAAGCTGTGCACCGGTTTGACCACACCAAACGCGCAACGTTCCGTCAAACCCGCTACTGAAATATTACAACAGACTTTGCTGTCATAAGAGTTTTTGCCTGAATCTTTTTAGCTTCATTGGCAACACTTATGAATTGCACTAGCTATAGTCGATTAACTAACCAGACAATGTATTTGCCATCTTCGCTCACTTGATACGAGAAGGGGGGCCCATTATCACCAGTTAGAGCAAAAGCCGGCTAAATTCGGACGTACAATAACAATTAAACAAAATAAACTTGAGCATCTTCAACATTCCAGACCAGCAACTTATAATCATGAGAACCAGTAATGATACGACCAGGGTGAATTCGGAGACAAATGACTTGTTTAAAGTCAACCTTAAAAACATTTTTTCGGTCAAACCATTTATTCAAACCTCTAGAACCGTGCTAGATTGAATCGCCCGGGATCGCCAATTCGAAATGATTCGCTTCTTTCGTAAGTACAGCGACTTCCATGGCGAACGCTCATAACATCTAGAAAAAACTTCATTTCGCAACAAGTTGGGTCACTAACTGTCCATATGCGATCTCGCGTGCTTGTCGATTTTGCTGGGCTTCTTGAACGTCCATATGTGAACTGATTGTGATTCCCGCTTGCTCATTTGCTCGATTCGCCGCCCAACCTCCGAGAAAACGAAAACTAAAGAAACAAGTTTGAGACGAGCCTTTTTACAATCGATTTCCTAAACATGAAACAGTTCATCTAAATAAACATTATCATATATTTGCTCTCACTTTATATCCTTGTTTGCTTTGCAATTAATAACATTATTGTCGTAGATCGTACAATTCTCTAAATCTAGTTTAATATAATATGTACTTTTAAATGTTATCTTATCGGCTCAAAACTGTAACAAACCTTGGCGCCTCAAATTCCACATATCCGTTCTCGAAACATTTCTGTCGCCACGTCTGATCACCTTCACAAATCCGTTGTCACGTCCGCGAGACGCCAGCGCAAGTCATCAAATCGCGCGGTGTCAAATAGGCAAGGATACGATAAGCAATCTAAAATTAAACTATTACTCCCACAGGTTTTAACAAACCTCCTCTGGCAATTGCGCCAAAAAGTCCTTTTGGAACAATGATTGCTTCTCCGGCCTGTTCGACATCTCCCCTAAATGAGAAATTATAGGAGAGATAACATCGTAATTAATAAAAGGAAAGGTCCCCGAACAAAATACAAAATACAGGCCGGTGGGGTACTATCACAGTATTTACGGCATATACACCTGTTGAACGAATGGAATGAAATGAAATTTATGGCAAAAAGTCTCCTTAAATATACGAAAGGAGCACGTTTTAGAAAGAGGTTTACGGTAGAATGTACACAAAACTATCTTTGGTGGTTCCACGCAATGAAAAAGAGATTTTTGTTTCAAAAAGCTCTTTTTCATTGCGCTTATTAGCAATGAGAAAGATCTTTTTGGAAGTAATTGTTGATTTTTAGATTGATTATCGCATCATCGCTCATTTGACACCGAGCGATTTGATGACTTGTCCTGGCGTTTCGCGGACGTGGCAACGGCAATGTATAATGCAAGTCGCATTATACATTGAGAGAACCGAGCGAGTTCGTCGCTCGAGAAAAAAAAGCGAGAAGATAGGGTGATGCCACAATCCGACCGTCTTTCTCCTCGATCTTCGCGTTGAACAGCGTTACTTCGACACCCCGATACTCGACGCGATGGGCCGGTAAAACAGGACGAATGAGTGCAGATCGTGATTCACTTTCAGCAATTGAAGTGCCTCGAACACCTTCGATTTCTTCAGAATTTGTTTTTGTTTTGAAAAGAGACGGCAAAGAAGGGAAACTTTTGAAAGTCATCAATTTGTTCTCGCAACGATGTTGATGATCGACCAAATCGGCAAATTTGAATCGAACCGTGTCGTCCTAAAGTAAACGATTAGACTACTCTGAGAGCTTGAACGAGCGCGTTCAGAAGACCATTCTCAAGCATTTCATCGATTGGTGCGACTTCCTTGTTTTTTGAATGCATTCCGCAAATCTAAAAGAAGCACAATTTGAAATCATTGCTACATGAAACGAACTCTCTCAAAGCAGCGTTTGTTTTCAACAAAAGGATTCGAGAGCACGGCGACAACTTCCCCAAACGACATCAGCGGCTCACGAGCTAAATCAAGAAATGAGGCTTTTAAAAACGACTCCAGGCATTGTTTTAACCAGAATAAAGCGCGTACCAGGAGCAGTGGCCGCCTTTGCTTCAGTGTTGCCGACGGAGATGTCATGGTCGATCCTTGGCTCATCATCATTTTCGTCATCGTCCACAGCTTGTCGCCTAAAAACAGAACATTAATCATAGACTAAACAATATTTTTCAACATATAGACTGATCGGTCAACGAAAATTTTTAAAACTACCATTCGGTTGAGTTATTCAGAATCCTGATGAATGGCTGAATGTGCGCCAATACATTTCTAATGTAACCTGTGTATAACAATAAGCACTCTTACATCTTCATCATCAAGGTCTAGCGCTTCTGCTTGAGAATTTCCATCGATCACTTCATACGACGCCGTCTCATGTCCTCGTGCCTGGTCACGTTCTTGTATTGCTAGGCGTTCGTCTTCTCATGGTTCAGCCATATTTGTGTCACCGAAAGCCATTTCTAAAGCAGAACACGATTAAAAGTCAAGAAACATTACTTTACGACTTTTTGCTGTAGGAATGGCAATAAAACACTTACACGAGACTTTAGAAAACTTTATAAAGGCAAAGCATTTAGTCTCAACTTTCAAAAAACAACTCACAAGTTTCAGCGACTCGGTTGGCGATGGCTGAGTAGTGGCCGGCGTGTCGTAGTCGAACTCGCGTTGACCCGCATTGGTAGTGGCGGCAGTTCGATTTCCGAAAAAAAAACACAAATTATACAGGTTGACAAGTGGTTTCGTTTAAAACTAGCAAAAGAGAGGAAAATCAAAAGAAAACAAGTACCTGGAGAGGGAGAGCTCGTGCAAAATCACTAAAATTATTTTAATTTTAGAAATTCCTGTTTGATACAATTTGACAAGATGACTGAATATCTTTTTGTTTAAAAGATGCCTATCAATATTTCGTAATTTTTTGGAACATTTTAACTATGAATCAAAAATATTCAGCTAAACAATTGAAAAGTCATTAATTTTTCGATGAGATCGTTGGAAAAGAGATTTCGATCATTTCGCCGAAAAGATTTCTGCGGATTGGTGCGCTTTCTTGATTGCTTTGCCACTTTGCGATGTTTCTTGCCCCAAAGTTGATTTTGAAGCTAATGGAAATGCAATTCTAACGATTCTGATCCCCTTATTGCCCACGCGAGCCTAGTTTATGGCTCTAGAAACAAATTTTATGTATTTGCAGCTGAAATCGATCCTGTTGCTAATGGAATTGCATTCGTTGCGCTAGTTGAAGCCTTGTTGCTTTGGTGGTTGAGAGAGGCCACTTTTATCCTGATTTCGTTGGATCTAATGTTTGGAGGAGTTTTATGGATAGCTTTTATCTACCTATTCTAGGGTAATCAAATAGGCTTTCTACTTTTAGAGCATTTACAACATGGTTATATTGTGGCTTTTATTTGAGTTTCAGGCTTTCAGGTAGTGTGTGATGGTTAAAGTACATGAGATTAGGCTAGAAAGGCCAGAAGCTTACTAAGATAGTCATCAATCTATTAAACATTTTTGATTACCCTAGAATAGATAAAAGGTATCGATGCAACCACTCAAAAAGATTAGATGTAACTAAGCCAGGATAAAAGTGGCCCCTCTTAACCACCAAAGTGCCAAAGCTTTTGTAGCTTTATAGTTGAAGCTGAAACCCACAGCTTCGTAGCAGGCTTTGTAGGAGTTCGGGCGTGATATTTTATCTAGAATTCAATTTTCCGACGCTTAAGTCAATCCTGATTCATTGGATCCTCGAAATCTCAATTCTTGCGTGAATTGTTTCTCTTTACCCCTTCTGCCTTAGTTGAAGCACTTTTCATTTCTGTATTTGTCCTCACTTCGAAGCACCCTAGTTTGTATTCTTTCAGATATTGCAACTGATCAACTCGCTTTGGACAAAATGTGCGACGAAGAAGTGGCTGCACTCGTGGTTGACAACGGATCCGGAATGTGCAAGGTGAACTTTTGGATCTCGTAGTCCCTGAGCAGGACGAACTGTTGTTTAACTTGTTATGCACTGCCTAGATAACTGCTTTTTTTAATGTCACACTACTTGAGGTAGTTTTATTTTAAGTATTTTCAAGGTACGGTACTAATTCTTTTTAGGCTGGCTTTGCTGGTGATGATGCTCCGCGCGCTGTCTTCCCGTCAATCGTCGGTCGCCCTCGCCATCAAGGGGTTATGGTTGGAATGGGGCAAAAGGATTCTTACGTTGGTGATGAGGCTCAATCCAAGCGAGGCATCTTGACGCTCAAGTATCCAATTGAACACGGTGAGGATTTTTTTTGTAATTGGGAGTTGCGCCGAATTATAGGAATTACTTTATGGCAAGGAATGTAGAATAAAAGTTTCTCGAAGCGGAGCCAATCTATGTTGATAGTCTGTTAAATGTAGGATCGAAGCTGACCAAAATGCTGTGGTCCTAATCTTTTTAAGATTTGCTTGGAGGAGTAGAAGTAGAACTGAAACTGCTAATTTATAAAGGTTGCTTGGTTAGTCTAGCAAATGTACTACCGAAGCGTAACGGTGATCGTGGTCTATTTAATGTTCACCTTGTTTACCTTTCTGCTTTTAGGAATCGTGACCAACTGGGACGACATGGAGAAGATCTGGCATCACACATTCTACAACGAGCTTCGCGTCGCTCCAGAAGAACACCCAGTGCTTCTCACCGAAGCTCCACTCAATCCAAAGGCTAACCGCGAGAAGATGACTCAAATCATCTTCGAGACGTTCAACGCGCCCGCGATGTATGTCTCGATTCAAGCCGTGCTCTCGCTTTACGCTTCTGGACGTACGACTGGTAAGAATTCATGGTTTTGCTCACTTGAAAATTTGGCTTAGGTATTGTGCTCGATTCGGGTGATGGTGTCAGCCACACGGTCCCAATCTACGAGGGATATGCTTTGCCACATGCAATTCTGCGCTTGGATCTTGCCGGTCGTGATCTCACCGATTATCTCATGAAGGTAATTGATTAATGCTAACGTTAAGAAATCTTTCTTTATAGATTCTCACTGAACGCGGCTACTCATTCAAGACCACGGCTGAACGCGAGATTGTGCGAGACATCAAGGAGAAACTTTGCTACGTTGCTTTGGACTTTGAGCAAGAGATGTCAACTGCTGCTTCATCGTCAAGCCTTGAGAAGACTTACGAGTTGCCTGATGGACAGCTCATCACCATTGGAAACGAGCGATTCCGCTGTCCTGAAGCTCTCTTCCAGGTGTGCTCATGATTGTTCTTCAATACTGATTCTTAATGTTTAGCCATCTTTCTTGGGCATGGAATCGGCGGGAATCCACGAGACTTGCTACAACTCGATCATGAAATGCGACATCGATATTCGCAAGGATCTCTACGCAAACAACGTCTTGTCTGGAGGAACGACCATGTACAGTGGAATTGCTGATCGCATGCAGAAGGAGATTCAAAGCTTGGCCCCGAGGTAAAGAGATTCTAAACCGGATACCAGCCGTTCCTTGAATTTGGGGTTCGGGCGAATAGTATCATTGATCAAGTTAAAATAAGGCTGTTTCGTGTTTAGCTCGATGAAGGTGAAGATCGTGGCTCCTCCCGAGCGCAAGTACTCCGTGTGGATTGGTGGATCGATTCTCGCATCGCTCTCTACGTTCCAGCAGATGTGGATCTCAAAGCAAGAATATGATGAAACTGGACCAAGCATCGTTCATCGCAAGTGCTTCTAAATTTATATCCCTTGCTTGGATCTTTACTTGCTCTCTGTTTTTGTGTGTCCCCGTTCTTTGAGTGTTTCTTTTCAGATTTTCCATGTCTTTTCATTATCATATGTTTAATAGTGCAATAAACTTTGTAATGTTTGAAGAGAAAGAGCTTAGATGGTAGCCGTGGGGTTTTTGTGTTTCGATGTTTAGTCCCGTAAAGCGTAGTTTTGCTTCTAGCTTTTACTTAACTCATTCACGAGGACACGGTCCGCGGGTGGGTCGTACTAATAACGGTTGTTCTTGGTGGCGATCCAAGTTTTTAAGAACTTGATTCATTTCGGACTCCAGTCCTTGGTAACTTGGTAATAGTTTTCAAGAGGGGCTTCGGGGCTTCCAAATGACTAGGATAGTTTCATTAATCTTTGATTTGTTACCCAATTATCATTAAAACTGTCAAAGAGTTAGTGACTGTACGCCCAAATGTGTTAAAAGCCTCATCGAAGCTTTTGTTCAATTGCGCTTAAAATAGGGCACCCAAATCTCAAAAGAAAGGCGCTGTGACGTCCTTTAAATATCCGCCTCAAAAAGTTGCTTAGAGTTGCAACTTTTGTATAAATAAGAGCATATTAGGGCAAAAATACTTGAGCTTTCATAATCCGGGGTTAGTTTTTCAAAAACAGCGTGTTTTCGGAAACAAAATGTTCGTTTGCAAAAAGTGTCAGAACCTTTCATGTTCTTGGCTTAATGTTTGGTGCAAAATAGTCAAAAGTAGCAATAAAACAAATCAAGCTTTTTCTTTTAGATGATTTTGTAAAGACGCTACACACCGGAGGGAAAGTTCACCTTCACGTCGCACACTCCTCGCGAGCACGTGAGCATGTTTGCACTCGAATTCGACGCCTCGGCTCAGGTATAGACGAAACGTAGCGCTTGCGCGTGCTCTTCGGAATTCATTTGAATTTTAGTGGCACCCAATTGCCTTTTTCAAGCTGGAGAACACGCGCAAGGCGAGCGAAAAACTCGTTAAAAGCTTTTAATGGGGGATTTCTTTAGATTTCTTTAGATTGCTGCAATTACGCGCAGTCACTCCTTGATGAGGTTCGATGGTGATGAGTTTAACACTTCTCATCTTATTTGATTGCTCAAGGCAGAAAGGAAAAAAACGAGCAAAACTATCAGCTTCAACTATTGCGCTACCGAGTCGATTTCTTTGTTTTGTTTTTTTGCTTGGTGAGTTAGTTTAGTTGAGTGGTTTTTTTCAAAGATTAGAAGCATTTGTTTTTACAGACTCCGGCAGTTTTATTGCAAGTAATATTTTTTAAGAATAGAAATCGATAAAGGAGAAATCAACTTTAAAAAACTTTGAGAATTGATTTTTAAAGATATCGAACAAGAAAAAAACTAAAAAGAAGTCTATGAGCAGAAATGCATCCACTTGCGGCCAAATGGTAAGCGGCATAGTTTTCTTTTTTTTTGTTTAATATATCTTTCAAAATCAATTCTTAAAGTTTTTGAGTGAAGAATCGAGTTTAGAAGATGCTTTTCTGAAGAGAGTTTTTTGAAACGAAACGCTGCTGGAGTGCTTTTGCTTTATGAGCACGCTTTTGCTTTAAGAACATTCAACATTCCAAATTACTGAAATTCATCGGATTAACGTCGGCACTTGAGGCCAAAACCGGGAAAATGCTGCTTTCGCCAATCCCGAATCACTCGAGCCTTTTGAGCATGAGCATCATGCTGCATCTGCATAAAAAACGGTAAATCCTGTTATCAAAGTGATTTTTTTTGGCTCCCGGGAGATCTTTCTCGAGACATGGGTTCGGTCGGTCGTTCTTTGCGCTCAGGCGTAAACTAAATCGATCTGGCACACTGAAATCCCAATTTTTCTCGCGATACCAAACTACTGCCGCGTGAAAAATGAGGAATTGGGTGTGCCAGATCGTGCAAAGTTATCGTTGTGAATGCATTTTCAGACATGCAATCCAAAATATAATATAAATTTTATCAAATAGAAGTCAAAAATTCCGGTAAATCGACAAAAATGAAAGTAAGACGCAAAGTGACAAAAAGTGTGTGTGTGTGTGTGAAAATATGATAAAACCGACCCGAATCCGGCCGGTAAAAAAGAAATCGCTGAGATAAAACTTGAGAAAAAAAATTGAAACAAATTATAAAATCGGGGGAATTTTGAAAATCGGAAATGCTCGTGAAAACTGGAGACATTTATCAGGTTGGCAAAGAAGTCTCTTCGCGATTTTTCAGAATCTCTAAACTGAACCACCAGATATCAAAACGCTCTTTTATGACTTTTTTTCTAATAAAAAGCTATTGAATAACCAGCTTTTGAATCAAGGTTATTTGGAGTAGAAAAATTTATTTCTCAATGAAAGTCAATTTTTTTGAGTGTTTTCAACCAAAAACTGATTCCAAAAGAAATAAAATGACTTTAGACTTGAAATTCTTTGCAAAATACAGTAATCATCAAAAATTTACTTGAAATTTTGAAGAAAAATATGGCGTTTTGATAAATTCCGAGTCAAAAGAACGTGTGCTGAAAAAACATGAAATTTGACTCGGTACTGAATCTCAATCAATCATTTTTCCATCAAAATTTCCCAATGTAAAAACTTGTGCCTTTGTTTTTAATTTAAGATATTGATCTTTAATTTTAACCATACAAAAGTATGGTAGTGGCTTTTGTCGAAAAATTTAGGTGGAGCGAAAAGACTTTCCTGCCAGCCTAATAGCTGCAACGGTTAGCAGAATAAAAGCAATGACTAGTCAGTTTGAAATAAAAAGGGAAAAATGGGAATGAGGACTTTTTAAGGGAACACCGAGAAAGGCACAAAATTTGAGTGATTTCGGAAAATGTCAAGGAAGTAAAGTCTCTGATGAAAGAAATGTCTTTGAAAAAAGGGGAAAAACTTAAAATTTCAGAAATTCCGCTTTCATGTGATATGTGCAAAAGTGAAAAGGCAAAGAAAAACAGGGAGAAAATGAAGAAAGACTCAAATCCACGTGAATTAAATGATTTTCAAAAGTTGAAAGCCAAACCAACAAACGAAACAAAGAACTGAGCCTGGAATTGCTGGAAATCGGGAAATTTTCGTTGGCTCTAGTGGAAAAACTCTTGAAAATGTGTAACTTGTTGCAAATTTCAGTTCCAAAAGACGGAAAGCCCTAAAAAAAGCTACTTTCTTCCACTAGAGCCCTAAATGAGTCATGAAATGCCACTAAAAACGTACAATGTTACGAGTTTCGATCCACTTGGTGCAGTAAATTGTCAAGAGTGTCGGGGATCGATGGTGAGATCCCCTCATCGGCCACATTTTCCGCGTCCGCATCATTAGCTTCCAGTTGTTGTCCTTTCTCTTGTTCCAAATTCCTGGCTTCACCTTTCTCGTGTTCATTCTTCGTGCCCACGTCGATATCGATGGCCATTCGGGGTTCCGGCGAAGGAAGCGTTGGATCTAAAGGCAAATGATAAAAATGGTACATTTATAGTTTGACCCACCATCGATTGTCATCCGAGTGCTCGCTCCACCGAATGAGATGCGCAATTTGAGGGGAGGGCCGCGAACCGGAGCTGCTTCTTCCATGAGATTCTCATTCTAAATGGAGGCAATTTAAATTATTGAGCAAATGGGATTACTGTAAAAACTCTAATAGAAGACCCCTCTGGAAGGGGGTTGAAAAATAGAAGACCCGGGTCTTCTATTAGTTTTTACGGTATTCAACTCTCAATGGGCAAAGGGTTGACGATTGCATTTTAGCAAATCATTAGCATGTTAAAATATTTAATTCATTGAACAATAAGTTAACTTCTCCCGAAATTATTACTCCTACTACAAGTCGACTTCTACTCTTGCAATACCTCGGCGAATTCCCTCACCTCCTCCTCTTCGACGACTTCTCCCTGATCCAGCTGCATATCGTCATCATTTCCACTTTCATCATCCTCATCTCTCTCGTCATCTTCTTTGATGTGATCGATCGTATGCCTCGGAAAGGATAAACGAAGCGGGGGCACCGATTTCTCCTCTTGGTTCACGACGGACATCACCGGCAACGAGACGCGTCGCTGGTTGATCGCTCGAGACGAGGACCGGCCTGGAGGTTTCTAAAGCAAAGAAAGAATATGATTATTGAATCTACTAAATACGTACCTTTTGCTGTGGCATTTGATTGAACGGTGTTGTTTTAGCTGGCAATGAGAGACGATTCTAAACAAATCAAGTAAAAACAGTCATATCCCTTAAAAAAAATACCTGTTTCGCTTTCTTGTTCGGTGGTTGGGTGAATCGAGAGGAATCCTGTGATGAGTCCACACCGGAAGCCGTTCTTTTTCGTCCACTCAACGATGGCGGAAGATCAGATTCGAACTAAAATAAGAAATAAGAATTTGGGTGTAACAATTGTTTCAAAAAAGCTTTTAAGGCTTAAAACGAATAATACAGTTAAATTCTTTAAAAACCTACATCCAAGTACTTTTTCGGCGGCCGGTGCTCTCGACGTCGGCGATTCGTCGGCGTCTCGCTTTCAATTGGAGTGGGCGTAATCTGAAGCAACTTAATCAGCATTTGATTGTAGGTTAGCTTTGATATTATAGCTTGTAGCTATATGATACTATCCGCAAGTAGTACTAACTTAAATGATCACATCATTAGCTTTTACAGCTATGGCAGCTAATAGCTCCAAAAAATCTAGCACTTTTGATTTAGGAGCAGCCCTGATTACAAGCCTAACTTGTTACCAATATTGACATTGAAATATTGACTTGTTACCAATATTGAAGCTCCACGTTTATTCCCCCAAACCCACCGGAGAGACAAGCGGCTTGCTGGTGTGCAAAATTGACGGTTGATTGGCAGTCAACGGCGTTCTCGGTGATGGCTTTCCAATTGGAATCAACGGTGCGATCGGAGTGAATGATTTGCGCCGATTTGTTGTCATCATCGGTGCTGGTGGCGGCGGGGAGAGGGCACGCGGCTTTTGAGCTCTCGTCGACCTTTCCGGTAGAACCATCGGCGAGAGAAGCGGAGCCTAGATGCATACGTTTATCTACGCAATCAAATCAATCCCAATTAGACATCCTTTTTAATGAATGAACAGAATCCTTACCGAAATCCTCCTCGGAGCCACAGCTTTTGGTCTCTCGTTGTGCAGTTCGGATTTGACACTAGAAAAGAGACTGTTTCGATAGGTGAAACAAATAACCCACTCATTTTCCGGAACCATATTTTGATCCTGTCCAGAGAGTGGCAGAGCGGCGGGCACTTCTTTCTAAATTTTTCACATAAATTGCGAATCTTATCCAATTCTTGATGCTTTTAGACCATAAAGTTGCGTACAAAGTTCAGTTTAACGGTTTGGAATTTGATTTTTTTTTTTTTCCCCCCGTTAACTCACCTTAACCGGCAATTTCTTGATTGCGACTTTCTTTGGCGGTCGTCCTCGCGCTTTCTTCGGTAGAGCCGGGATTTGGAACGGTGATGGAAGTGGTGACTGAGATTGAGATGAAAAAACGGATCGCGGTGACGCCAGAGAGTCCGTGGAGCCGCTCTAAAGAAGAGTGAATAGATAATTTTTGCGTGTACCAATCCAGGTTAACCTAGTTCTTGTTCACAGTTAGTTAGGGTTGAGCTTTGCCGCTTTTAGGGCTGCTAAAACAACCTCTGGATTTGCCAAAACCGCGACACTAGAGAAAAACACAGATAAACATTTTTAATCCACAATTTTAGAATTTAAAACACGTAAACATTCCTTCTAAAATCATTTTCCAACACTCACCTCTTCCTTGACCCTTGCCAAACCGCCTTCTCTGTGGTAATCGTTCGCAAAAATGTCTCGTTGTTGAAAATTCGGTGGCGCCGAGGTGGGTGTCAGTGGAGAGAATGGAGAAACAGCCAGCGATGAGACGTCGCAAGAATCCGACTAAAAGTGATAAATTTTAAAAAAGAGATGGCAGAACTGAAACAACCTTTCTGATCTTTAGCCGTAAAACGGGTGCACGTGGTGAGGCGGTAGATTGACCCTGAAAAGAAAAAAAAGTTTGAAAGAATCAGCAATTTTACAATTACGTTCAATGATTAACCGATTATGGTCCGGCAAAATTGGTCTTAAAACTGGACCGGAACAAGTTCTACGTCGTCCGGTCACGTTTAAAAGCGCTTCCTAAACCGTACCGCCAAAATCGTGTGATGCAGCAACTCGGAAGCGTACTGAGGCGTTTCGGGCACATCGATCGACAGCGGTTGATGGATTTTGCTCCGAAATGGTGGTGGTTCCTGAAAAAACGATTAGTTTATATGAAACGTTTGCAAGATAAACTTAATTCTAATATAAGACCTATAAAATTACATTACTCAATGATGTTTATAGTCTCATGTATTAAAAAAATCTTTAAAACGTACACTCTTTATAGTCGCTTGATGCAATCCCAACGAGAAGATGTCTTTCGAGAGGAAGTCGGGAAAATCGTCGTTTAGCTGCGAACGGTCCGGGAAAGCTTCTTGACGATTTCTGTCGGCTTCTCGTTGCTTTTGTCGACGCGTCTCCAAGAGTTCCACTAGAGTAAAGAAATTGGCTATGCATTATTAGAAAAACGTTAAACATTCCACTACTTTAGTCATCAAAATGGCATTTAGCAATGCTATTTTGATAGCTAAAGTCGTGGAATGCTTCTGAATTGGTCATAAAAGGTAATTCAAAGCTTTACAAAGCTATTAATCTCATTTCATAACTATTCCCGGTTCATAGCGTGTCTTTACGTCAGATAGGTACAGAGTTTTTATGCAGGTTTGTTTAACAAATCAATGAAAAACTTAAAAGCTTTATTTTTACAGAGTAATATTCTTATTTAACTTCACCGTTTTTACCGATTTGTCATGCTTTGTTTAATCTCAAATCTTCAACCAACCTGTAATCTCTTTCTTGTACAACTCGGGCGCCCAATCAGGAATGTGATTGCCTCTTTCCATCAATAGTAAATCTCTTTCGGGAATCGGCTCGTTCGGCGCTAAATCCCTCGCCGATGATGAACCAATCACTGGTAACTAAAGAAAAGAGGAATTTTAAGATTTTTGTCTAATCGCTTACCAAAGGCGGTTCTCTTGTCCTCCGTGTTTGCGCCGTTAACGTCACATAGTCGGTGATTTCTTGCTGAAACAAACGTTTTAGCATTTAGGAACCAATCCATACCATATCACAACGCATCTTTTGAAAAGCGTGTTGAGCATCGTTGATGGTAGGTCGTGTTCGGCCACCTCAAAGGTAAAAAAAGATCGTAGACGTAGACAAAGGGTATTCGCCGGTTATATCCTCACAAGAGTTTGATTCATGTACCAAGTCGGTTATATCCCGACAAATTGATTCATTTTTTGAGAATTTAATCGACTTGATGCACGGGTCTTTTTTTGTAGGGATATAACCGATAAGTACGAAAGAAACAAACAAACCAAACAAAAAAAACAAAGTTTTCCGTCTACAATTGACTCTACAACTTATAACCTCATTTTTTTCTGATTCCACAGCCACCAACTCACCTTGTTCAGTATAGTTGTGCAATTGAAGGCAGAACTTCTCCAAATAGCAAATCGAGAGCGCCGAGAGGGTGTCCAACGAGGTGGCCGCGCAATGCGAGAAGCCAAGATTGTCTAAATCGAGCAAATTAGAGATGCGGTAGAATACGAGCGATACGGAAAATAAATTTTCAAGTTCGAAAGATCCCTGCCAAGAACGTTTAGCACTGATAATATTATCCGAGAGCCAGACACAAAGCTAGTTCAGATTGATCTAGCTTTACTGTTGGTTTTGCCCATAAAGTTATTTAGACGTTTATGCTAGAGTACAGGTTTGGTCTGAGACTGAACAGGAATGAACAATAAAGCCCGTTTAGACAGCTAAGACTCACTATAGCATTTAAGAATATCACTACACAATAAATGAAAGTAACTGTAGCGTCATTATCGTCACTTATCCTTTTGAAATCTAGTATTAACTCCAATAACTGTCAAGCTACTTTCAGAGACCACCGCTGATATTGGGAAAGTGCCCTTATTAGTTTCATTGGTGCTTTAGTGGTTGGGAGGGACCACTCTTGGCATCGCTTCGTCGAATCTAGTGTTTTGAGCGGTTCGTCTCGATACTTTTCTTCTATTTCGGGATGATTCTATATGCTGAAGTGATTGATGCTAATTCTAGGGTATTTCCATCATGTTTCAAGTTTATTGCAGCTTTCCAAGTGTAATTGATCAGCTTTGAGATGACGTTCGGTGTTTAAAGTAAAGCAGGCTAGGAAACAGGGCAAATTATTGAATAGAATTATCAAAAACGTGCTTAAATTAGCATCAATCGCTTCAGCATCTATCTCTTTCTTCAAAAAAAGAAGAAAAGTCTCAACACGAACCGCTTAAAACACTAGAATCGTTTAAGCAAAGCAAAAGTCGCTCCTCTCAACCACCAAAATACCGTTTGAACATTTGCAAAAACACTCACCAACAAGAGCCGCACATGCGAGCGCCATCGATCGTCGAGCGCACTCATCATCGACCAGCTGAGATGTCGATGGGATCGGCTGAGCGATCGGAAGTGAAGACGACGGATCATCATCTCTTCCGGGCAAGGAGGCACATCGCATCGAGCGCTTATTTCTGAAAATGAAAATGAAATGCATAAGTTCAACATAAGTTAATAAATGTTCTAAAAAGGCAAATCAAAAAAAAAAGATCAAACAAATATTTTATACAAAACGTTTTTTAACCTCAAAATAACGATTTCTCACTTCAAAAACCAACAAATTAATCTTTAAAACTGAAATTTTAAGCAAAATTCACGATTTTTGTTCAAAATAAAACTCAAAACTCAAATAAAAACGCCAAATTTCCCTTTTGGCCACATTTTTACGACTACAAATCCGCAAAAAATCAAAAAATTTTCTTTTTTTTTCACAATACGCTCAGCCGATGTTAAACTGGAGGCTTTCCTGGAGAGGAAATCAAAAGCAAAAAGTTGTGATAAATTCGTTTATTCAATAAAAATCTCTAACAAAAGAACAATGTATACACAGAATTAGAGGAATTCGCTTAAATTTTCTCTCAAAACAAACAAATAAAGAAGAAAAAACGGCAAGATTTCACTAAAAAAAAAAAGAACATTCTTTTCTCCAAAAACGTGAGCAATTCTCTCTCAAATCAACTTTTCATCACAAAAACACGAAAAACGAAAGAGAAAACGATATGGAAATGATTGAAATGGGGGATAAAAACAAAGCAAAAAAATCAAAATCAGGGGAATCAAATTTTTAAGCCATTTTTGCAAAAATTTACCAGAAAATACAGAAAATACAGAAAAAGCACCAAGCTAGAACCAGAGGATTTAATTTAATCTTGAATTTAAGACCAAAAAGAGTACGATTTTACGTAAAACACTATCAAAACAATAATTTGTACCAAATTTTGCTCATAAACGCACGCCCAAACGCATCATTTTTGCACCATGAAGACAAGTAAATGACAAAATTTTGGATGCTAATGCACCTGGGCGAGTCAAAAAATTCAAACAGCTCAAATTACTCAAATACAAATTTGACTCCCCTAAATACATTAGCATCCAAAATTTTGCTGATATGAATGGAAAATTTTTGGATTGAAGCAATGGGAAACAATATTTTTTGGTTTGAGAAATGCTGTAAAAAGTCGTTAAACTATAAAAATTTGTATAAGATTTCGTTCAGAAAAGCTTCCGAGCAATTTCTCATTCAAAATATCATTCAATCAAATCCGGTTTATCAGGGAAAAAAATTGAATATCCCGAGATTTCCCCATGTTTTCAAAGGTATTCAGTTAACGAGCGTTGCCTGAATATCTCAAAACAAAAAAGTGCAGAAACATCAGAATATTCAAATATGACCTCAAAAAACCTGAAATGATTGTAGAAATGATTGTAAAAACAAATCTTTGGTTTCGGGGGCAGACAAAAGCACAATTTTACGCTATATCACAGGAAATAAAGACCAGAAACAAGGAAGAAAAGAAAAAACAAATGTCAAAAAGCTAAAAACTCACGAGAAATCGAAGAAGAAATTGCAAATTTTCACATTTTCACGTCAAAATAGCGAGCGTTTAAATCAACATCATCGTTGGATTGGATGCAGAGATTTGATCGAATCAGCTGATACAAAAACATCGGACGACAACGCGACACCTAAAAATAAAAACATTAGTATAATCTGAAGACATCTGAAAACATATTTGGAATATTTTACAAAGCTTTGGAATCTCAAAAAAAAAGTATTGTTGCCAGACTCAAAAGACTTAAAAGACTTAAAAGGTAGACAAAAGCTCAAAATCTAATTGTAAACGAAAGAAATCAAGGGGGCTCAAATCTCCATTTGGCATCTTTCTCGTCAAAATTTCTCCTTTCCCCTTTTCTTTTACAAATGCAAAAATGGTTTCCCAATTGAAAACCTAGAAATCTATTAGAAAAAGTTCTAGGGAAATTATTCAATTTTAATTCGAATCGGATAAAAGTTTCGATTTGTACAAATGTTAATTCAAAATTCACGTGAAATCGCGTGGTGTTTGTATGGGAGAAAAAGTAAAAGTAGAGAAACAGGCTGGTTGGCAAAAACCTAACACAACAAAGCAAAGCAAAGCAGAAGGGGGAAGGGAAAGAGAATGAAAGCGGCAGACAGGGGGGGCCGCCAAAATGTGTGAGGAGGAAGGCAGGGAGAGGGTAGGCAGCGGGCATTAGAGCTAAAGAACAAAGAAGATCGTGGAGAGGGAAGAGTCAGGTAGGGCATGGAGAATAGAGATAAACGACGAGAGAAGTTAGTGCAAGGAGCAGTTCGGATATAGAATCGGCAAGGCAGTGAGGCAGTCCTAAAGATCCAGAGTAGAGTTTGCGGCAAAGAAATGAGAGCGAGAAATAGTGCATGGAATAGAATAGACATCGAGGCACAAGACAAATGTAGTATCGGTAAGATGAGAGATTCAAGTTGAAAGTCGAAACATTTAGGGAAAGCAGGGAAAGCTTGAAGAGAGGTAGAACAGAGTAAAGAAAAGGAACGAGACAAGTGAGGCACACAGAAGGAGGAAAAGGGGGATGCCGAATGCCGAGGCCAGACCCCGGGCAAGGGGGTGAAAAGGGAATGGGCAGGGAGAGTGCGCGCCAAATGGGCTCTCTGCCGATTTCCCCTTGCAAAGGCCCCGCCCCTTTCCCTTTCTCTCTTGACCTCATGGTCATTCCCTCTTTCTTTGGCATCTCCATCTTTTCCCCGTTCTCTTACTTCTTATCTCCTGGGGTCTCCGCTATCTCCGATCTAGCAAAAACTACAAGAACCCCCGACCGGCTGGGGGTGTCGTTCGGAAAAAAGATTTGAACATGCAAGGTAACGGTGGGAGTAAGAGGTTACGTAACAAAGAAGTAAGGAAGAGCAAAGAATTTAAAATTTACAAATCTGTAGAGTTCTGTAAGGTAAGTAGGCTGATATTTTAAGCCAAGGATCACACTTTGGAGCTTAGCTCGTGAAGACTTGAAGACTTTGAACTTTTTAATAGATTAGAGTGGGTAAATTTATAATTTAACGAACAAGGATCACTGAAATCAATGATTCCCGGGTTATGAACAAGCAAAAACCAGCAAAACCAGCACAAGTATGAAAGATTCTAGCTTTTTTTGGTCAGTCAGGCCAAGAGTCAACCACATTCTAAACGTACTTGATAAGGAGTGAGAGTGAATCCGATTTCTTAACGCGTCTTTGTCGACACATTGAACGAAATCGGCGACGAGAAGACCTCATCAGCGAATAGTTGTTGCTCTTCGCGACGCGCTCGCACAATTGGTCGAACCTGTAAGTAATAAATAAAATTGATAAGCCAAAACAAAAGATTTAAACCAACCTTGTACACACCCTCGACACGAAAGAGGAGTCGAAAGACGATTTTCGACTTTGGTGTCAGAAGAGAGTCGTCGCCACCCTAAACACTTCGATTTTTGCGTTTAATAAAAAGCAACTTTCAACGTTCAACGAACCTTTGTTGGCACCGAAAACGGCACCTTTCTGCTGCCGACAATGACCAAATTGTGTGGACGGGGAATCGATTTTCTCCTCAACAACACCTCCTGCTCGCATTCGAGCTCCATTTCACCGTGGAATTCATCTAAACAAAAAAAAACAGTGGATTAGTTACCCAACTTTCCCAAATATCAAGAGAGCTAGGTTCCCCAGAAATTACTCGATTCTCATTAAGCTCATTTCCCCAAAAAAAACCCACAATCCAATGACGAGATGACGGCAATCTCTAACACATTCACATCACCGATTCCCACCGATAGGTCATCTTGCGACAAATAAGGGACACCGTTCACGATCAGTTCTGTAAGGAAATAAATTTGAAATTTAAAAGAAAAAAAATCCAATTTTTCAAACGAACCTAGCGATATCGCCGGCAAGACAAGTTGTTTAAGCAATGGGATCGACGAGAGAAGAGCACCCACCGGAACTAGGCCTTCCAACTAAAGAAAATGATGAAGATCGACCATAGATATTAAATTTTAACCAACTTAAAGATTAAATTAGGCAAAAATTACGATAATCATAGGGTTTTAGACACGAATACACTGAAATAAACCGATCACGAACATTTTTCGTCGAAATCGTCCACCGAATGTCCAAATGCTTTGCGACATGCGCTTCTAAGATTCGTCGTAGCCGCTCGATCTCTAGTCTAAATAAAGAAATGAAGATTAGTTGTTTCCAAAAAGACAGTGAAGGTCATTTCATCAAAAAAAAAACTATTTATTGTCCTTTAAAAAAACACTTTAAAATTAAGGTTGACTGTTCAAAGAGCTTGTTCACGAGAGGTTCACCAGAGCAATGCTTAAATATAATAAAATAAAATAAAAACCACAAACCTTTGCATCACTTTGCTGTCTTTTTGTTGCGCCGCATAAAAGGCTCGACCCGCCACCTCGGTACAGCACGGGCATAGTAAGGGTACTCTAAAATACACAATTTAAGATTTAAAACCCCAAACATTCTCAAGTAGGTACATTTTTCTCAAATTTCGCTCACCTGCACGTTTCTCTCGGTGGCACACTCATCGCCCTTGTCCCAGAGAAAACCAAATCCGCATCGGAGTCCGTCGAATTCGACACGTCGACCACAATGTATCTAAAATAATCGTGAATCCTGATTTCTTTACAGAAAATCGGTACCTAGTAAATGGTCCATCACCGGGTAAAATACTCCAAGCAGCAACTGTGATCGCCGGCACAACAGTGATCGCGATGGGTAGACGAGCGGTTCGTTTGTAATGCTAAACGTTTAAATAAAAGAATGAAAGAAGTTTAGTCGAAGTTATCACGATAGTTTCTAGGCATCTTAACCTAGATTTGGGCATACTTCTGGGTTCGTTTATTTTTGATTTTATCACTCAACCTCTCCACTCGGTCCCTCCAAAGTTGCCGTGTAGTCGAAAACGAATTGTGCGGTGAGGAGGCGACCCGTGTACGGAATTCGATCACCAATGAATGTAGCTGACGACATTTCGGAGACAATCGATGGCGTTGGAGAGGGAGGTCGAAAATCGCTCATCTAAAGGAATCTTGAGCTTGAAAATCGGTCATCTTTCGAACTTGAAAGAAAATTTTGAGCTCTGGCAGCTCTGCAAGCTTGACTCATCAAAATCTGAGCTTTATCCTTGAATCGTACACTACACTTTACACAGTTACAGTAGTCTATTTTCTCGTTCTTCTCGTAAACCCACCCTCGTTTCATCTAAACTCTGCGATTTCTCGTCATCCGTTGTCGCCGTCGGGTCGACGCCAAACATCGTGAACTCGATCGGCTTTTGCTCACCGGGCGCCAACGTGAATCCCTAAAAAGATCACAAGATCACGCACTGTTTTTAGTTTTTCAATTGATCTCTCTTTGTATTTTGTTAGATTCTTCAGTCCTCACCTCCGATTCCAGCGTCGGCGTACAGAGTGAGTCATTCGTCGTGTCAAACTAAAGATCAACAATTAACGGTTGCAATCCAAAGCACTCACTTCATTCGCCAGCTTTATCAACGACGGTCCTCCATTTACTTTCGGTTGAGTGATCTGAAAAAAAAATATTGAAAATTTCTTCAAAACTTGAAAAAAACCTGTACTCTCACATCGCAAATCCCAAGTTTATCCGACGAATTGATCAGAGCCAATGAGTGTTGAAATCTAGACCAAAAAATTATTGGTGTTTTCAAACATTTGAAGCTTAAACGAGTTGTCTAGATTCAAAAATGACTGAATGACTTCTTCAACCTGACTTCTTCAAGAATGACTTCTTCAACCTGTTAAAATTGTAATCTAACTGACACTAAATGCTTTTAAAGCAAAAAAAAAAATAGCCTTGTTTCCGAATTTCTTGATAGCTTTCGAAAAAAGAAAGGCAAATTTTCTACTCATTTCTAAAAACCAACGTTTGTCCACTGTAGATCGTGATTTCCGCCGAATCTACTTCACCATCAACCGACGAAATCGGGGCTTTTGGGAGAGAGGATTGCACGACGAGCAGCGGCAATTCGGGAAGGATTTCTATCTGGAAGAAAGGCAATTAGACTATATTTGGAATCAGATTGATTGCTTTAAGCCCACCGAAATAGACATTAGTCCCCCAACGTCCATAGGTGTAAAACGTAGTTTAATCAGAACTCTAAACTTATCTAAACAATTTGCACGATTCTGGTGTCATTCGATGCGTGAGAGCATTTCCTCTCGAATGACACCAAAAGCACAGATTGATAAAGGTAAGTCTATGAAAATTCTAACCTAATCTAGCCTGATTATCGATAAAACCCACCGTCAATGATTTTCTCGCACGCAACTTGCACACATTTTTCAAGCCGAACACCGAGCAACTGTAGCCAGTGATCGTCAATTGACCGGGGGTTCTGAAAAAAAAAAGGATTATTGACGGTTTAGCTCATCAAAGCTTTACCTAGGCACAACGATGAGATCGTGCTGCATTTGAAGATCACTGGTTCGTTGCGGCATTTTTTCCGGCGATGGAGGAAGGCTCAATCGCAAGGGGACCGTCTCGAAAGTGACACCCTCACCAAGGACACACAACTCTCTAAAGAAAAAAAAAAGAAACGTTGTTAAGCCATAATGCATAGCTCAAGTACTCACCTAACAACCAATTCCTGGGGTAAACAATTGTAGACGTGGATCCGTAGCAAACAGTGCGCTCCAACAACCCATTGAACGGCTAAAATAAGGGTATCGTGATTTGTTTTGATTAATTTCCATGACAATATCCAATCAATCTTTTTACCTTGATGTTTCCTCCGTCTTTCCTCGGCTTTCCTCTCAAAATGTGAATAGATGAAGTGCGATTTGGTGGTGTCGGACGCGCGAATGACGCGGGGAGCGAGATGTGACGGTAGACTCATCACTTCCGGATCACTAAAAGAGGAAAAAGTACAATAAAACACTGTAAAAACATTTAAGAGTTTACGGTTTTATCTTTTAACTTGTGCTTTCTTAAAAAGATTCAATCAAAAGCCGTCAATTTAAATTCGAATATGCTTCAATGCCAGTTTTGATCGTCACTTAAACTTTGAGAATTCAAATGATTAGTTAAGTACTGTTTTTAGAAATCGTACTTTAGATACTTAAACAAAATTTGTATTTATTAAACCCTAGAGCTCGCCTTGCCTCGTTTTAAACCTTCCCAAAAACCCACCAAACTTCAGGAAACCTCGTCAACTGAATGGGCGGCAGAATAATACTCGACGGACCCAAACCAAGCTCTTCCAATGGTAAGTGAGTAGACAAATTGTGTTTTCGTGTGCTCACCAGCGTGGCCAACTCCGAGATCAAACGGGCACGCATCGATGGCTCGAGAAAGGGATAGTAGCCCTAGAAAAGAGATTTAAACGGTAAAATCAAGTAATCAACTTGTAGTAGATGGCATAAATGTCGAATCGCCGCGTCACTAAGTTGGGCACGGGTGCTGGAGGTGTAGACCTGAAAGAATGATGATTAAACGGCTTGTAAGAGGAAAATCTCAAACAAAGTACCTCATGTAATGCTTTGATTTGCAACTCAATGGGCCCATTTTGACTTGACGAGCTCTGTGTGACGTCCCTCGACGCGGTCTCGTTGATCCCGTAACCGTAAAGTGTTCGAAAGAGAATCTAAAGGGAGTTTTTAGTTAAAAAATGGTTTAGACTAGAATATTCTTCTCATTGTAAGCTCAACGCATTGCATTGCATTGCAAACTCACCGGATAAACACTCCGATAATCAGCCACAGTTCTCGTCTCTCCATCCATCACATGCAAACGAAAGAGGACGCCAAGCCGCGAGAAAAAGGCGCTCTTCCGGAGAAAATTGATCTAAATTTTGTTTTTTTTTAAAGTAATCACTGTCATTTATTTAAGCCTACAGTCTATTGTTGATTCAATGCTTAAAGAGCAATTTTATGCGTTTAAATCCTTATCTTTACCTTTCTATACATCTCGGCACTGTTAGCACAGACTTGAGCCTTGAATTGGTGGTCGAATTTCGTGAATGAGTCGTCGAGGAACTTGCCGACGTGCGTTCGATGAAATTCCTAGACAAAAAAATATGCTTAAAAACGATTAAAAGATATCTTTTAATCGTTTTTAACGTTTAAGCGTTAAAATTAGTTGATTTTATTAAGTTTGAAAGCCATTTTGGAAGCGATTTCTTATTTAACTTTCTCATTCCCTCACCTCCATCTCAATGTATCGGCCCTGCAATCGGAAAAGATCTGTCGCTTTCATCATGCACTCGTACTCGAGAAAAGAAGCAAATCTAAAACAAAAAAAGATTATAAGAAAAGATTCAAATTGGCATACTTACCCAAATTTCCCATAATGTTCAATCGCTTGCTCGAAGCTCTCCAAAATAGTCACCGAATCGAGTTTGTCTTTTCTAAAAATGAAAATATTAGCTTAGCCTTTGGACATTTTTTTGATAAATCTTTTTATAAATGAAAAATTCATCAATTGACCGAGGATTTACTCTAAATAGAATCTTTATTATAGCCTTTTCGATCTTTTTACGCCAATCTACGTTCGTTTCCAAGAGAATCCGAGGGCAAAATTCGATAAAAGCCGATATAAAGGAATTGGTTAAACAGATTTTTCTGAAAATTTCGCTATAAACCTAACTTTTTGCGCTCTTTCTTTTTTCTATTTACATTAAAATCGATTTCTTTGAACGAAAGTGTCTAAATCGCGTAATTGAGTCGTCGCCTTTTTTGTCTGGCTAAGTTCCGCACCAACAAAAAAAACCATAAACAAAACATTTCTTAAGATTTCAACGATCTTTTTATAGAAAAATATCAGACCTTTTTAATGGAGCAAATCTTAGATCAATAAAATAATTCTAGAATTGGATATTTCAAAATACCTTTTTAAATGAAGTGTTTAAAGATTTATCGACCAATCTAATAGGTATGTAAGATTCAACATTAATCACCGTCAATCAGAAATTTTGATAAAACATCAGTTTACTTTACTCGAACTCTAGTTTCAGACCTCTAGACAGCACTATTTTACCCCAGAATTCGTAACATTTCCACCAAACCTATCCAATTTTATCCACGAAAGTGCCGTTTTCCTGCCGCCACTTCCATTTCTCTCGACATCACGTTCCGCCGAGTTCGTCGTCGAGAATCTCGAGGCATCCTCGTCGGAGCGATACCGTTGATGTCCATGATTTACACTAAAAAGTATCAATGAGTTAATCTAGTTAGTAATCTAAATGAGTTAAAGGTAAAATTTGATCGTGATCACTTAAATTTAGCTCTTCAAAAGCTCTTCAACACTTGCTTACAATTATACGCAAACCTTTAACTTGTACTGATTTTAAACTCGCAAATTGGCGGAAATTTAATTCGTATCTTGTAAAACTCAAAAGCAAAACGACAAACAACAAAATGATTACACAAAAAAAAACAATTTATTCGTTGTTAAGCCTACAAGATCCCTTAAAAGTAGTAAAAATTTACCCCAACGAGTGATAGTTTTTCCCTTGAGCAGCTTCTCGTAGTTGTGCCGGGGTTAACGTGGCCACTCGATGCATTGAAGACCTAAAAGAAAATAAATAATGACCATTACCAACCAAATCAAATTCATTTTATCAAATCAAATTCATGTTTATCAAATTCAAATCAAATTATTATCAAAATTATCAATTTTTCAAACAAATCTTGAACTTTAAATCAAAATTGATTTATTTTCAAATAAATCTCCAACTAAATCTTCAACCAAAAAGCAAACAAACCTATTCGTATTCATTTCCTCAAAAATTAACGCCATCGCCGCGCACGCCCAGCCCTCAAGAGCTCCTAGAATTGAAAGTAAATAAGAAAGTAAGAAATTTTTAATTTTTTTAGTTTCCAAGACAAAAATTACGTTATTTATTGACTTTACTCGTTTTTACAATGCATTAAACCCTTACCAGCTAGCCACAAAAAGTCGTTTGCCGATTTCAACAACTCGATCGCATTTTGGTAGTGTTCGAGAGCCTAAATGTTGAAAAATTAGAAATTTTTCTGACAAAAAAACAAAACAAACCTGTGAGGGTAAACCGGCTAACAAAGTGTAATCAGCTTGATGTTTTCGGCAGCGTCCAATGCATTTTCGTCTGAAAATTTACAGCTTAGAAAGAAATTTTCTAAAAGAAACGTGTATCATTTAGTAAAATCGGTTCTATTTATCAAAATTTTAATGTAAAAATTAAATGTTGTCTTGTCAAAATCAAATTTTCTCTTGTCAAAATCTTACCTAAAAGTCTTTGAAGTTTTATTCTCGGTGCCAACGCGTAACTTTTCTTCTTCGGGCAGCAATGGGCAAGGTGGAGGATCCTGGAATCAAAAAAATGCACAGATTTAACGGAGTTTTGATAAGTTTTATTTTAAGAGTTATGTTATGATAAGTTCAAAAAGGAAAATAGCCTTAAAATATTAAAAATCGAACTAAACACAGGGAAAACTTTACGGTTTCCACGTTTTACTCAACAAGATTGTTGTTTTAACATTATCAACGCTTACCACTTTCTCGAAAGCGACATCCATTCGTTTCTGCTCATGCACAAAGTAGATATTCCGCACGAATTCACGAATCGCTTCCTCGAGGCCATCTGAACGAGAAAATGGATAAAATAATAAGATAACTTTTAAAGCAATAATAAATTGAAGCTTTTGCTTTTGGCTTTTGGCAATAAATAGCTTTTGGAGGAACAAAGCAACCGTAAATACTCAAATAGAATCCCTAGGAGCGTCACCTTGTCCGTTTACTCTCAAACAAACGCTCATATCTTGACACCAGTACGTTTGTTTTTGCTTGTTTGGGTATCAAATTAAAGTAGAAAAATGGGTCATTTTTTAAGCTATAGCACAGATTTTTAGCGTTAACCAGCACTTAGAAAAATGATTAAAAAGTGGCAAAAAAAGCACATTAAAAATGATGTAAAATCGGGGGTTTTTCAATCATTTTTCTAAGTGCTGGTTAACGGTAAAAATCTGTGATATAGCTTAAAAAATCACCCATTCTTTCTACTTTAATTTGATGCCCAAACGAGCAAAAACAAACGTACTGGTGTCGAGATATGAGCGTTTGTTTTAGAGTAAACTTATGACTACACGATGCTCCTAAAGGGGCTTTTATTAGAGTATTTTCTCTAATAGAATTATTATAGAAGTGTTGCGTAATCTATATTAGAGGAAATACGGTATGCTTTTTGAAAAAACAAACCTGCATCTTCCATAGCCGCAAATTGTAGAGCTTCTCTTGATGCGAATCTCGTCGTGCAATCCTCCTCATTGTAACCAATCAAAATGCAACGACTGTCGACGAGAGTTGATGAGAAATCCGACTATAACAAATAAAATAGATGATTTGTAATCACTTTTTTCATGTTATAGTTAAAAGAATAGAAAAGTTTACTAAGAAATCTCTTTTATAATTCTTTTAAGATCAAAATTCGACTTTTAGCAAAGGAAATTTTTTTTAAGCAAAAAGATTTATCCTTTGCTTGATTTTACTATCAAAACACTCAAATATTTAATATTTAATAAGAAACCTTTAAATTCTCATAGAATATCTTGACATCATCAATGCCGACAATCACTCCAACCGACGAGCGCCGCCGAATCGCCATCGTTTTCTCGTTTGGAGAGCGCTAAAATGGAAAAATTTTGTGCATTTACTTTAACTTAACGAATTACGTTAACTTTAACTTTGCTTTAACACCTAATATCATAAATTTTACAGTATGTAGCTATATTACAGCTTTAAGTTAAGCTATACAAATCGTAGCCTTTCCCAAAAACAAACCTCTCTATTCTGATTGCTTTCGCTTGTCGATGGTGACCTACAGGCGACCCCGATGATCCCAACAATGCGACGATGTATCTAAAAGAAGGTAAATTGCAAAGTAAAACGTGAAAATCAGCTTTTAAATAACTTTGGATAGCTTTTAAGCAAACACTACCTGAAATTCCCCAAATTTGATCGATTCGTTCGCGACATTGGTGACAAAATTTGCCTGGACGATGCGCGGTTGTGCCGAGTCGCCGACTAAAATCGTTTTTCTTGATCGCAAACTTGTTTTTAAGCCTTAAACCTTTGATTTAAGCATTATGCAATTTATTTCTATGCGTTTTTTTTCCTTTACTTGATCGTAAACTTGCTTCTAAGCCTTAAAGCTTCGATTTAAGCATTATCCTATTTATTTCTGTGTTTTTTCTTTACTTTACTTTTTCTTTATATGTTTTTGTCTTTTTTTACTAAAATTGTACTTAAACTTCTTCTTTTGACAAGAAAAAAAACCTTGTAGTCCATGTTGTCGATTAAGGCGCTCGATGATTCGATTGAAAGTTTGCGGATTTCGAGAGCCGATCTGAACAGGGAAACGGTAAAAAAAACACTGGGGTACTTTTCCAATATCGGGGGAGCGAAAGGAAAATCGGGGGAGCAAATTTTGCCCCCTCGAAAAATGCATTTCCGGGACTGTATTTTAACTGTAACGTTTTTTTTTAAAAACTTTAACGATGTTGCGGTTCTCGGACATTTGTGCGTTCAAGGAATCGACGGTAATCGATTATTTCGTCACCAAAGGAGTCATCCAGTCGTGGATTTGCAACTGTGGCGAATCGATGAAAGTCCGCTCAAAGGGAAAAGATCCATTTCGCTGGGTGTTAGGTATTTAAGTCACTTTTGTGATCTAATATAAAGGTTGTGAGAATTCGTAATGCGGTAATTCGCGGATTTTATGGCGGTGGTTTGTATAATACCGGACCAATGTAGCGCTGCCAAAATTTGCTCCCCCGATAATCGGACCGCTCCCCCGATATTGGAAAAGTACCAACACTGGTTATACTACCCTATTTTTGCCATTTTATTGTCAAATCAATTCCATTAAATGTCACCTGTTTAACGAGAATCGTGATCCTTGTATGATCTTCAGCACTCGGTGTTGCGTCCATTTGTTGTTGTCGTCGTCCGTTTTTGCATCCCCGTTTGGCAATGCCTGCTGGGTGCAACTAAAATAATTGGAATCGTTAAATCAAACCATGGATGTCACAAAGAAAAACGAAAAGTGGAAAAAAATTTTGAAATTAAAAAAAAAATTTTTTAGCAAGCCCTCTCTTTAAATACTTTTATTATCAAAAATAAAAATATTCAGCTAAACAGTTAAAAGCTCGCCAATTATTTAAATTCGGTACAAATTTGAATTATCTGTCGTAAACTTTAAACATATGTCGTAGCCGATTATGAATGAAATTTTTTGGCAAATCTTTCTAGTAGAGCAACCCTTTAATGTATAAGGACAATATTATATCATCTTGTAGCGAATTCAATTCTGCGTCGATTGGTACCAAATTTGTGAGCTTAGGTTAAAAATTGCCGGCGCTACAACGTTTCATTCAAAATCGGCGGGACCCCCGTAGCCGATTATGAATTTCAGCCGATTATGAATGAGTGGGTCTAGGAGCGTCCAACCATCAAGTATTTAGTATCATTCAACGCAGCATCATTGATAATTGTGTTAAATTTTTAAAATTAGCAAGATTTGATGGAAAGAAAAAAAATTTAGAGCAAAAAAACTGTTTGTTTGAGAGAAAACTTTGAAGCCCCATAATTTGTGTTCTTTTAATCCAATCTTTCTAATTTTAAAAATTTAACATAATTATCAATGATGCTGCGTTGAATGATACTAAATACTTGATGGTTGGACGCTCCTAGACCCGCTCATTCATAATCGGCTGAAATTCATAATCGACTGAAATTCATAATCGGCTACGACATATATTCCAAAGTTAAATGCAAATCACGACAAAAAGCTCGTCAATTATTCAAATTTATGCAAATTTGCATATATGTCGTAAATTTCAAATTAAAATTAAAAATTTAAATGCAAATCTCCAAAAATAAGTTTTTTTTGCTTAATTTTCACCTTTTTCAATTTTTTTTTGCCAAAATAAAATCAAATTTTAAAATGTACTTTCGCGGTTTAAAAAAAACCATTGAGTTTAGTCAAAAATTTCGTCCAAAATAAAGCTTTATTGCGAGCAAAAGACACAAATTGGGTGATTCAAAGTCAGATTTTCAAAAAAAAAAAAAAAAACAACAACACTGGGTTTTTTTTTTTTTGTTGAAAGCTGAAAGGGGAATTTGAGTAAAATGGTGCTGAAAATTTATCACATTTTGAGTAAATTCAAGATGAAACCCATGAAAACAATCAAAAACAATCAAAAACAATCAAAAACAATCAAAAACAATCAAAAACAATCAAAAAAAAAGATGAAAAGCTGAAAAATAAGACCCGATTAGTGGAACAAAAAAAACTAGGTAATTGGAGAAAATTGGGTACCGTATTTCTTCGAATAGAAGACCGGCTAAAGAGTATCATCGCGTACTCCTGCGTAGCAGCCCTTTTTAAATTTCTTTTCTGCATAAAAGCTTTCAATCAAGTGCTATAGAGCTGGAAAATGGCTCAAAAATACCACATGAGCTAACAGATTTTTGAGCCATTTTTGAGCCATTTTCCAGCTCTATAGCACTTGATTGAAAGCTTTTATGCAGAAAAGAAATTTTAAAAAGGGCTGCTACGCAGGAGTACGCGATGATACTCTTTACCCGGTCTTCCATTCGAAGAAATACGGTAAGAGACTTTCAATGCTCTGGATTACGGTATCGGCTTTTTCGAGCATGAAAGTATCTCCAAAAAATCATTTACACTTACTATTTAGGGAGACTACGGTACTCTAATTGCATTTTAGAAACGGTAATTCAAGTGTACTTCTGGGGTTCTGGTAAGCAAAGTGTAATTTGTGCAAGGGTTACGGTACTCTACTTGCAAGGCTCTGGTTGTCCGAAACTACTCCAGGATTACGGTACTCTAAAGGCATTTAATGCTACGGTAAGCCGAGAGTGTATTTTGTGGTCTTACCAATGGCTACCGCACTCAAAAACGCACCATCTAGCGAATTTGCAAAACGAGCTAGCTACTGGAAATTGGGTAACTGAACTGAAAGCACTCCTGTCCACAAATGACGTCATTTTCCGCATCCGACCCACTGAGCCCTCCTAGTGACCTCCAGAACGCGGTAATCTTGAAGAAAAACGAGGAAAGCTTGCTCACGTTGGCGGAAACAGCCTTAGAGGAGTTATCGGAGAATGCGATTCCCGAGAAGCGCGTTTAAATGAGAGAGAAACGGGTCTGTGGAACAAATTGAAACACAACTCAACAACTCTACAACTCATCTACTCATTTCTTTCGTTCAATTTTATACAATAACTGCAATTTGTCCAAAAAAACTACTTAAAATGGAAATTTTGAGAAAAAAAAGACAGGGTTACGGTAGCCAATTGGCGTACTTTGTGCTCTCTCGTAAACGCATTCTTTCTGGCACAGTTGGCCACGAGATTATTCCAGAAAGCAAGCGTTTATTGAAGCATAAAGTACGAATTGATTTTTCAAGAATTCTAGATGGGTTACGGTACTTTGAGCGTCTAAATGATGCTTAAAAGTACCGTAATTCTGTGACCGGTAAAATTTAGGGAAAACGCAAGTGAAATATGGCAAAATTGAGGCTTCTAAAAGTTCTAGATAAAGCAAAATGGTAAAATTGGGGAATAATAGAGTACAATATAGATCAATGCACTAGGTGATAAGCGTTTGAGCACTTTCTAGCCGATTCAAATGAACTATTGATAAACTAATGAGATTTTTGTGAAAGCTGGAACGCACGGCACTAGCCTAAAGGGTTACGGTAGCAAGATGACGCCTTTTAGAATGACGACTTTTAAGCAACTTGTTGAAAATTCTAAAACGCACTATTTCGATACAGTAGCCTTTTGGACTAGTTGAGTGCGCTCCAGCTTAGCCAAAAATTTCATTTGTACAGTAATATTGAGCTCCAGTTGCTCAGAATTAGCTCAAACTCAATCGGCCTAGTGCTTGACTACAGCTAGTTCCAGTTTCATCCTTTCTCTGATCTAAACAAGCGGTGTGCTCAAATTTTGATGTCGTTTCTGTTTTCGGGGCATCGTTTTAGGCAACAGGAGGTCTTCGGCATCGGAGAGAAGCGAATCCGATGAAGGTGGGAGTGGGAGAGGCTGCAGTCGACCAGTGGACCCAAATGGTTTATCTAAATTCGAGATCATTTTTTTATTTGGTCATCCTGGATGTCACACATATAAGTTATCAAAGAAAATCAAGGAGATTTCGATTTTTATTTTCACTAACCAACACTGGATCAACCCTTAAGTTCAAAATTAAAAATTTCTTTTAATTATCTCAACAAAAACCCTCTGTGCGTTCCAGTTTGCCGAAAATATTGAAATTTTTTTTAAAATCACTTTTCTGTAGCTTTTTCTGGGTCTGTTCTTCATCGCTGTCCTCGGAGTGAACGGGAGAGTAACGGCGACGGCGTCGAAAGCTGAATTCTTTGACTAAATTCTAGAGTTCGGCAAACAAAACCAAAACCAAAACAGACCAAAACCAAAACACCAAAACAAACCAAAACTCAATTTGCATATAAATTAACATGTAAATTTCAAAATTGTAAAATGTAAATTTTAATATAAAATGCAAATTTAAATGTAAAATGCAAATTTTAATGTAAAATGTAAATTTTAATGTAAAATGCTAATTTTAATGTAAAATGCTAATTTTAATGTAAAGAGCAAATTTGCCTTTCACTTTTTCTCACTCCCCAAAATCTTGCGGCCGAAAAAAAGACCAAAACACGACCTCGAAATTTCGAAACAAAAATAGCCTATAGGATAGATTTTTGGACGCTGATTTCAAATCTGCAGACAGATTTTCGCTAGTTCTTCCCAATCGCGAGATACTGGCGAGTTTTGTTTAGTTTTGGTTTTGGTTTGTTTCGGTTTTGGTGCTTTTGGTCTTGGTTAAGTTTCGTTTTCCGAAGTTTACTAAATTCTATTTGCTTCTCATTTACCGTAATCTTTTCGCTTTCTTTGTCCACGAGGTTCTTGATTTTTTGATAAACAAATAGTAGACGACGAAGAGGGAAAAAAGAGTGAAACCGATTGAGAAATAAATTGACGACCAGCCTGAAATAGGGAAAAAAAGTTTGAACACTTTCTGGCCGATTCAAGTGAAATATTGATAAACTAATGAGATTTTTGTGAAAGCTGGAACACACGGCACTAGCCTAAAGGGTTACGGTAGCAAGATGGCGCCTTTTAGAATAGCGACTTTTCTGCAACTCGTCGAAAATTCTAAAACGCACTATATCGATACAGTATCCTTTTGGATTAGTTGAGTGCGCTCCAGCTTAGCCAAAAATTTCATTTGTACAGTAATATTGAGCTCCAGTTGCTCAGAATTGGCTCAAACTCGCGTCACCGAGTGACTCCAGAGTCGCCTGGTTGCCTGGTTCCCTGTTTTGTCTAAAACGTGTACCAGGGTCTGTAATCGATTGGAGGCTTAGAGAAATAGCCGTTAGCTACAGTACTTTAGGGCAGCCCGTTACAGTAATCCGTTTATTTTCCCAAAGTTTAGACCTTAAAGTTCAAGCTACATTATCCTACAGTATTATGAGGGATTTGCCAACTCCGAGAAGCCTCACTTCCCCGTGAGTCCTTCAAGATTGTGTTCCAAAGGTTGGCCAAGCTCTTCCCGGAACTTCAAGCCGACTTATGTGAAATCTATAGCTCTGGAAACGAAAATCTGAGATTGCAAGACTGTGCCTATCTTCTGTGCCCGTCCGACTGGGCAAAGGAAGTCTTCTTTGGAATCAGAGAGAATGTCAAGGCAAAGAAGCCGCCAGCTCCTGCTTCCTTGCTGAAAGCGAAGGATCCAGCAATTGTGATGTTGACCGACACGCAAGTGGTCCTATTTGGTGGTCCTTTTGCTACAGTACCAATGATACTTGCTCATATTTTTGTCTCGTTTCTAAGCTTCAAAAGTCAAAGCTACAGTAGCTACAGTACTCCTTTCTAAGCTACAGTAATCCTCACCACAATCGTAATGTTTCCCGCCGGAAAAGAGAATCCCAATCAAACTGGGCATCCAGAAGCGATCACAAACGCATTCCTTTGTTTTATCGGAGCATCGACCGTGTCCAGAGCACTCCAAATGACAATCTGGAAGGCACAGAATGAAATAAAATCATCAAACATTCAATAAAGTGAAAGGAATTCTATTCAAAAATTCCAAAATCCCGATTTAAAGCTATTAATCGTTAGAAAAAAGGAAAAAGATTAGAATTTCAAAAAAACGTTTTCATTTTTCTTTCCACTGCCACTCACACTTTGGTTCAATTGATGTGATTGAGAAAATCTCATGCATTGTCGTCTCGCCACGAAGCACCGCAACAATGGTGTCCGCCTTGAGCGTCGTTGATGCAGTTGCACGTTTCGCTTTCCGACGCATCTCTTCTAAAATGATGAAATGAGGGATTCAATTGGAGGAGGGGCTGAAAACTGAAAATCCCGAAGTTCCTAGTTCCCGAAGTTCCTAGTTCCCGAAGTTCCTAGTTCCCGAAGTTCCTAGTTCCCGAAGTTCCTAGTTCCCGAAGTTTCTAGTTCCCGAAGTTCCTAGTTCCCGAAGTTTCTAGTTCCCGAAGTTTCTAGTTTATAGAATAGCATATTGCTTTATACAGGGTGACCAAGAATTACCGCGGCAACTTTTTGAAAAAATAGCTGACAAATGCTTAAATTATTTTAGAAGTGTCAAATGTTATATAGAGAATTATAGCCCTAATTCTCGGCAACATTTATCTCCGAAAAACTTCCCGATTGGACTTATACAACTCATTTAACAAGCGCTTGAATGAGCGCTAGTCGACATCTCTCCGGCGAATCTGTCATTTGGCCACTTTTCTCTATTAAAAATATCGGAAATACTCAATTTTCCCTGTTCCTCCAAAAAGAGCTTGACATCAACTTAAATTTTGATTATGCCAGTCCAACCAAAACATTTAAGTGTGATTCCTAATGTTATTAAGTGATATTAAACGCTATTTTTGCATTCAAGAAATATTGAAAAGCTTTTCTTAACAATTTTTAATAGAGAAAAGTGACCAAATGACAGATTCGCTGGAGAGATGTCGACTGTCGATTCAGGCGCTTGTTAAATGAGTTGTATAAGTTGAATCGGGAAGTTTTTTGGTAGATAAATGTTGCCGAGAATTAGGGCTATAATTCTCTGTATAACATTTGCCACTTTTGAAATAATTTAGACATTTCCCAGATACTTTTCCAAAAAGTTGCCGCGGTAATTCTTGGTCACCCTGTAGCATAGAAATAGAATAACTTAAAAGGGTCAGAGTTGGTAGCATGCTTTCTAGAATCGAGATTTCAACAGAAAACTTTTAACCCAGGTACCCAGGTACTTAGAGTTTTTAAAAAAACAGAGAAGAAAAGAAAGATTTAAGCACCTAGAACGAACCTGTTTGACTAGTACTGAGATTAATCGTTTATAATAGGTTTGTAATGATCGTAGAGCTACTGATAGTGGTGTAAGTTCTTGTGGTACTCTTTGCTAAACGTCAAATAAACTGTTCGTCAAAATATTCGTCAAATAATGTTTAGCTTTCTTGATTTTCCCTCACCTGTTTGATCGATAGCTTCAGCCCAGAAAAGCATTCGGAAATCGCCGCCACTTGAGTGATATTCTTCGAGACGAGTTGTATGAATCAGTACTTGGGAAACACCAGAAACACCGGAGGAGAGAATGGCTGCGATTCTGAAATTTGAGAGGTTTAGTTTTGAATTGAAAAATTCAGTAAATCTATCAAGGCTGGAGTAATTAAAGGTCTTCCTTCTTGCTGACTTTCTTTCTTCCTCTTCTTCTTCCTCTTCTTCTTCTTCCTCTTCTTCCTCTTCTTCTTCTTCCTCTTCTTCCTCTTCTTCCCCCTTGTCTTCCCTTCTTTCTCTTGGTAGATCAAGGTGCCGAATATCAAGGTGCCGAATGGTTAGAGCAAAGGTTTGCCCGGAAAGCAGAAAGTCAAGCCTTTTCTTGTCAAGAAGGTTCAATTCCATCTCCATCTCCTTTGTCTGGCTAATTTCTTACTTTATTACTAGTTAACCACCTGTTCTCTAATTTTGATTTCTGTAAATAGGAGAATCGCTCAACAGATTGTCGAATCAACAACTCGACAGACTCGCGCTCAGCTTCACCTAAAGATTAGCGATAAAGTGAATAAAGTGAAAGCCATCTCTGTCCTTAGATCAGTTCTAGAAACAAAAAAAGCCAAGACAGGCCAAGTGTTTGACAATTCCGTCAGGAACATAACCAAACTAGAGCTATCCAGGCCGTACTTCAAGTATCTGGTCGATTCTGTTCTGACTCTAATTTATTTAATCAGGTTTCCTAAGTGGCCTGGCGCTGTCCGCTGGCTTTCTGGAGGCGCTGTCCGCTGGCTTTCTGTCCATTTAACTTACTGCGAAGAGCTTGAAGTAGATCTTTGATCTGAAACTGACCTTTCTCCACATGTAGCCACACCCATTTCTCATCCTTTTCCTCTTGTTGATCACGAACCGAGAAATTGAATCTAAATGGAAACTTGTTGTTTAATGACGGTAATTGAATGTGTGGCTTCTAGAATGACCTTTCATTTCACTCACTTAAAAATCCCTTCAACTAGGCCGCCAACAAGGAGGACTGGAGTGTTCTGTGAGCCATCGAGGAGTTCCTAGAAATGATTGAATGGAAATGCTTGATATCCCAAATTATTGTGTGATATCCAGATAAGAAAAAAACGGTAGTGAAAAGTACCGTACTTTTTTTTGAATCCTAAATGACACCTGTACTGTATACTGTATTATCAAAAAGTTCTTATTTGACTCTAAATTCAAATTTCTTGGTCCCAAACTACAGTGTGATATCCAGATAAGAAAAAAACAGTAGTGAAAAGTACCGTACTTTTCCTTGAATCCTAAATGACACCTGTACTGTATACTGTACTATGACAAAATTCCGATTTGACTCTAAACCCCAATTTATTCATCCCAAACTACAGTGTGATATCCAGATAAGAAAAAAACGGTAGTAAAAAGTACCGTACTTTTCTTTGAATCCTAAATGACACCTGTACTGTATACTGTACTATGCCAAAGTTCCTATTTGACTCTAAACCTCAATTTATTCATCCCAAACTACAGTGTGATATCCAACTAAAATAAGCGCACCAAAATCGCTGGAGTATCATCATCTGGTGTCCATCGATAGGCGACAATCCCCGCATCGTCGTGGCTCGCCGATCCGTCCAATTTGACGACAGAGATCGGCAGGGAAACGGTCACATTTTCGGCTAAGGCTATCGGTGGCTTGTTTTCACCTAAAAATTCGCAATTGTTATCTGATTTGTTCTTTCTTTTCTAGGCTAATCTTGGACAGCTTCTGAATTTGATCTAACTAGGGAAGACAACGAAACGGCCCACTAAGGGCTGAGGAGTAGCGGATCTTACTAGGGAAGGCCGTCCACTCAAGGTCGAGTTTCGGAACGAGACTTAGATCATGAGGAAAAACTAAAAGCAGCATTCCCCATGAAAAGCTCTACAAGATGATCTCATTCCGAAACTGGACCTTGAGTGGACGGCTTTCCTTAGTAAGATCCGCTACTCCTCAGCCCCCCGTGGGCCGTTTCAAATAGTTTCTACTTAGTTTGACTTCGAATTTCATCTAGTTGTGCAACATGTTTTAAAATTTAAAAAAAACCAAAAGTGTTGACGGGAGCAGGTGTCGAACCTGGACCGTGTGGGCTACAGACAAGAGCACTCGCACTGCGCCATCTAGGCAGGCGGCGGGACCTTGCCATTTGAGCAATGAGCTCGCACTGTGCCATTTAACCAGTGTCCTGGCTTGATAACCTCTAGAGCATGGCCGAGTGGTTAGCAGGCGCGTGTCTCAAGCGAGCGGAAAAGAAAAGTCGCAAGTTCCGCTCCTCTTGCCGCCAATCCTTTTGTTTTTTTCTCCAAAAATTCTGCTCAAAAAGCAACAAAGCTTCTAGATCATTTATAAATGAAAACGAAAACGATTTTAAAAGATTTCAAAGAGAAACAAGGCTCCAATAGCTGTGAAGGGATCTGAGGTTGATCTAGTCCTTGATCTAGTACTTGATCTAGTCCTTGATCTAGTACTTGATCTAGTCCTTGATCTAGTCCTTGATCTAGTCCTTGATCTAGTCCTTGATCTAGTACTTGATCTAGTCCTTGATCTAGTCCTTGATCTAGTCCTTGATCTAGTCCTTGATCTAGTCCTTGATCTTTTCAAAACTGACCTCTAATCACCGATACTTTGACAATATCGTGTGCCTCTAGTCCTCCATCATCTGTCACTGAGAATTGGAAGATATAATCACCAAGGATGAGCTTAGATATGGTTGCTTTTGCTTGATTCGCGTTTACGATTGAAATTGTTGATGGGCCACTGAAATTTTCGTTATTTTTAGCTATTTTTTCTTCTTTTTTTTTCGAAGAAGAACTTCATTTTCATAAATTCAATTTTCATAAATACTATTTTTCATTAGAAAGCTCAAAAGAAAACGATCAAAAAAACTAGAGAACTTCTTCGTTTTTGTTGCTTTAGAACTAAAGTTAGAAGAGATTAAGCAACGCTTTCAGTGCAATGTTACTTTACTTATTTTATTGAAAATTCAAAGTAAGTTGAAAGTTTAAGCCGTTTACAGGGTGGCTACAAAGTATTGCGACGCTCATTTGGATCAGAGAAACGATGAAACTGGAACTAGCTGTAGTCAAGCACTAGGCCGATTGAGTTTGAGCTAATTCTGAGCACCTGGAGCTCAATACTACCGTGAAAGTCAACTTTTTGGCTAAGCTGGAACGCACTCGACTAATCCAAAAGGCTACTGTATCGAAATAGTGCGTTTTAGAATTTTCGACAAGTTGCTGAAAAGTTGCTATTCTAAAAGGCGCCATCTTGTTACCGTAACCCTTTAGGTTAGTGCCGTGTGTTCCAGCTTTCACAAAAATCTCATTAGTTTATCAATATTTCACTTGAATCGGCCAGAAAGTGTTCAAACTTTTTTGCTACCGTAACCCTTTCGGCTATAGGTTTTTGATTTGTCGCAATACTTTGTAGCAATCCTGTAAATTATTCTTCCTTTTTTTTTCACTTACCTAATTTGTGTCCAATTAAACGCTTTTATCACCCCATCATCTTTCGCGTTTCCCTCTAAAACCAACGAAGATTCAGGTAAAATCACTGTTCGATTGCCGCCTCCGTTTGGCTCTGAAAAAAAAAAGAGAGAGATATCGAAAATGCAAAATAATGCAAGAGTATAAGTATGTACTTTAATTAGATATTAGATACTTTCAAAAGAAAAATTATAAAAAAGAACTTTAAAAAAAGAATGACAAATGAAAAAAAGACTAAATGACTCAAAAAATTAATAAGAAAAGAACTTTATTCTAAAAGATATTTACTATTATTATCAACTATGTTCTTTCATTTTTTGCGTAGACTTTGGAATTGCTTGCTTGAATTGCTTGCTTGAATGCTTGATTTGAAAAATTCAGGAATCCCGTAACGCAATTTATTCAGGAATCCCAAAGTTTTCTTGTATCCGACTTCTTTAGAATTGTTAAACTTTTGTTTATTTATTTTATAAACATTTATTTTATAAATGTTTATTTTATAAATGTTTGACCTTATCTCAAATCGCTTATCAGAACCTATTTAAGCTGGCCGACTTAAGCTGGCTGATTTAAGCTGGCCTATTTAAGCTGGCCTATTCTGCTATTTAGCTGCTATTAGGCTGCTAGATCAGCTAATGATTACCGTTTTTTCTCTAATAGTAGTGCACCCTGAGCGTCGTCTAAATTACTCGAAATCTCGAGAACCGCTTATCAGAACCTATCGATGTGGGGTTGGAAAATGTAGCTGACGATCAGATCTTGTGGGGATTTGAGGGTGGAGCTTCTGTGAAAGCTTTGAAAGCCGTAAAATAGTCACCAACTCGGCTCACTCTAACTACTATTAGAGAAAATACGGTAGGCTTTTTTATTTTAAATGTTTAACCAAAGTTAGCCAAATTCAACGAATTTCTTTCTTCACCATGAATTCGATTATTTTCTTTTCAACTCAATTAATTTCCTTTCAATTCAATTCAATTTTCCTTTAGAAATGCGAGAAAAGAAAGAAATGAGACAACGAGAAGAAGAGCTGATAAGAGATGATGAATCTTGTGCGTCTGATGAAGTGATCATTGATGAAGAAGATGAAGACGAAGATCTTCAACAACCGGTTCGTCTTTTCACTCTGTTGATGAATTTAACTCTGCTGATGAATTTTTAGACAACCGAAGCCGCCACCTCCACCAACTCCTCCGATGAAACTCTCAAAAAAGCGCCATTCTCTGTGGAGGAGATCCTCTCGACACCACTTGGACGACTAGGGGCGAGGATGTTGAAAGGTGAATTTCGATTTTTAACCCAAAAACTCTTTGCCAATCCCCTTCCTGACATTCAGATTGCTTAATTTTTCGATTCCGGAAAAATCCCAGCTTCGAAAACTGTCATTTTTGGGCTGGAACGCAATACGAACCTCCGGTATCACTAACTTCGATTTTTGTCATATGCTCCCAAAAAGCTCAGCAAACCCTTTCCTGACATCCAGATCGCCGATTTTCCTGTTTATCAAAAAAACTGGGAACCCTGGGTGCGAGAAAAACTTATCCACCTCGTATTGGCAAAGTTCAACTGGGACTCAATTTTGTCAAATGCCCCCAAAAAGCTCATCAATCCCTTCCCTGACATCCAGATTGGCCAATTTCATGATTCTGGAAAAATCCCAGCTTCGAAACTGTCATTTTTCGGTTGGAACACAATACGACCTCCGGTATGGCTGCTTCGATTTTTGTCGGTGACCCCCAAAAGCTCAGCAATCCCTTTCCTGACATCCAGATCGCTTAATTTTCTGATTCCAGAAAAATCTCAGCTCTGAAACCGCGATTTTGACACCGCAACACAATACGATAACTTCGATTTTTCTCATATGCCCCCAAAAAGCTCAGTAATCCCTTCCCTGACATCCAGATTGGTCAATTTCATGATTCTGGAAAAATCCCCAGCTTCGATAAGAGATGATGGAATCTTGTGCGTCAGATGAAGTGATCATTGATGAAGATCCCAGCTTCAGCAAAAGCTTTGAAAGCCGTAAAATAGTCACCAACTCATGCACTACTATTAGAGAAAATACGGTAATCGTAATCTGATCACAAAGACAAATCTAAAGTCAATTTGAAAACAAAAAAAAGAAATTTTTAAAATTCTCATTTATAGTTAAACATTACTAGATCCAATTCATTAAAATTTTCTTAAAATCCCTCAAAAAACAACCAAAAAACAACCAAAATCAAACCTGGAGGCAAATTGTGCGCCGCGTGGACGAAAACCGAGACTTTTGTCGAGTCTTTTTGGTGTTTTCCATCAACAACATCCAATGCGAACTCATAGGCGCCGAGTTGTTCAGTCGCCTGGAAATGTGATTAAGCGAGCTGACAGTTGAGCTGGCAGTTGAGCTGACACCCAGATTAGACAAATTTGGCGAGAATTTTTCATTTCAAACAATTCCCGACCTTTTAAGGGCTCAGAGTCGCCTCCACGACGCTCAAAGCCCGACAATTTTCTCCTCAAAACGTTTTTCTTTTGAATCTCTTTCTCTTGTTAATGGATTTTATTCATTTTTCAATTACCTGTAAATTTCTTAGCTCCAGCACATTACTTGATGACCCATCAATATCAACAGTGAGCTCATGAGTGAACGAGTCGACTCGATACCAGCGATATTCAACAATTCCCTAAAAATTTCGGCAATAAATTTGGCCGATCTGGAGCTCACACTACAAGATAAGCAATATTGTGATAGTTATTATCTTGAAAGTTATACTTTGGTTACCTTTGGTTTCTATAGTCTTAAAAGAAGCTATATTCAAGAATTCCCTGAAAGTCTGGGCGATAAATTTGGCCGATCTGGAGGTCACACTACAAGGTAAAAAGAAATCCGATGGTTATTAGCTTGATGTTTGTACTTTGATTACCTTTGGTTCTTATAGTCTTAAAAAAATCTCCATTTAACAATTCCCTAAAAATTTCGGCAATAAATTTGGCCGATCTGGAGGTCACACTACAAGATAAGCAGAATTGCAATAGTTATTATCTTGAAAATATACTTTGCTTACCTTTGGTTCCTATAGTCTTAAAAAAATCTCCATTTAACAATTCCCTAAAAATCTCGGCAATAAATTTGGCCGATCTGGAGGTCACACTACAAAATAAGCAGAAATCCGATAGTTATTACCTTGAAAGTTATACTTTGGTACCTCTGGTTACTATAGTCTTAAAAAAGCTACCGTACACGGCACTGTATTGGTTACTGTAGCGTCTAAAGCTACCATAACCTCCGAGTTTTATGTCTTAATACGTTAAACCTTTTGGTTTACACTAAATAACACTTAAAATGCATTTTGTAAACAGTCTTCACAAAGGTTACGGTATTTTTCTTAACTTAAGTATTATCTTTTAAACTTTTAACAGCTTTTAGAAAGCCATTTTTTCTCTATATAGCAGTTTAAAAGTTTCCTACTTTATCATCTTGACTTGAGTTTGCGCAGAGATGAATATGATTCAAGGGTAATCGAACAGAAACCATCCCGGTCGCCGTTCCCGTTCCACACTCGGTGATGTGCGCTTTCGGTGGATCGTCACGCTCTGTAAAAAGTTATTTGTCGTTTCTGGAAGTCACCCTGGGAATTGAGTTGATTTATTTTCGATATTAGCAAAGGAAAATAAATGATTGATAGAATTTTGGTTAAAATTTGGTTAAAATTCAAGTTTTAGATGGGTTTTGGATTGAATTTACTTAAAATAAATAGAAAAAAGAAAAAAGACAAGAGGGGAATGAGATTTTCTTTGTAATTTATTCATTTAATATCTAGAAATAAAGCTTTAACCTTCTTTTACATTGACAGTAACTGTTGTTGAATCGGATCTCCCTTCGGTGTCACTGACTGTCACTCTAGAAAGGAAAAAAATCATACTTTGTTATTAAAAACCAGTTAAAACCAGTTAAAACCAGTTTCCAAAAACAGTTTCTAAATCAAAATCAATAAATTGTTCATTTTCAGAGGACAGAGGGACAGACAGACGGACAGACGGACAGACAAACAGACAGACAAACAGACGGACAGATAGACAAACAGACAGACGGACGGACAGACAGACGGACGGACAGATAGATAGACAAACAGACAGACAGACAGACGGACAGATAGACAAACAGACAGACGGACGGACAGACAGATAGACAAACAGACAGACAGACGGACGGACGGACAGACAGACAGATAGACAAACAGACAGACAGACAGACGGACGGACAGAAAACTCACCGAAATTTGTAAACCCCTTGCGCTAAGCGTTCAATCTTCAAACTGGGAGTGTTCGTAGCGGAAAGAGCAACAGTTGGACCCGAGACTTGCACCCATTCAAAAGAAGCTGGAGTGGCGGAGACAAGACTGCCTGCAAATAGAGTACAATACTTGTGGATCCTTGAATCGCTTCGATGCTTTAAACTCCTTAGTCTATGGTAACTAGGATTAGAGAGCTTTCAAGCTCTCAATCTGGATTGTAACCTAGCCTAGGAGGCCAAGAAACCTAGAAGTTAGCTCCAGGCTTACAAGGTGAGCTTACAAGGCTTACAAGGCTTACAAGGCCAACTTAAGATGAGCTTCTAGATCGAGATCCAATGCAAAATTTCATACTGATTCCGAATTTGCTTTTCGTTTTTGTCAAATGGCTGTCTATCAAAAGTTATAAGCATTTGAAATTTGAGAAAAAAGATTGGAAAGCTGGAAAGCTGGAAGAGCCTGGAAAGTCGTCAAAAGGCTTCTTCAGGGCGAGCCCTTCAGTGGACTGATGGCGCAGTGGGTGGAGGGCGTTTATACAAAACGATTGCTTCAATCTTTTGCTTTAGTTCAATTCCAGCTTTTGTTTTTCTCTTCATTCTGATCTTTCAACACTTAAATTTGTTGATTTTAATCTTTCTGTTAGGCTTTTAAACTATGATAGCACTGTGGCGAATTGCCGCTGCTCTGCAGTTAGTCAAAAATTCAATACACAGGTTAAAATTGAAAGTCGATGGATAAACTACCGTAACCAGTCACTAGACGATATTCAGTTGTCCGTTTGGCGTAGCTTGTCGTACTTAAAAACCCATTATTCCAGCTTTGTCTTGAGTCAGTTGTGGGCTCCTGTTTTTTTACTTCATTCTTTTTCACACGCAAGTGTTGAAGTAATAGGTTGATGCATAAGTCTTTTCGTTTTTTTCGTACTTCTGTTAAAAAGTAACAAATTCACCAATTAATCTATAGTTTGCTCTATAGAAAAAGTGTTTTTTTTGTTCAATTTGCATCTTTTAAAATCAATTTCGGTTCACTTTCAAGCAAATTCGAGAGTGAAAAACGTATTAAATTGGTGCAAACTACAAGCTACAAGCTACAGAGACTACAAACGACAGACAGAAAAACAAAAGCCTTTTTCGTAAAAATCGATAAAAAAACTCTACGGAAAAATTGGCTGAATGAATTTCTCTGAAATTTTGGCGAAATATCAAACGTTTTTTTTCTCTATCTTTTATCTATTGACACGAAGATAGGTTTTCTTTAGCTAAGGTGTCTAAACCGCATCATCGAGTTAGCCCCTTTTTGACTACCCGACTTGATACTCTCAAGAAAATCCAGGCATTCAATATTTTTAAACCCGTTTTAATGTTATTTTGCAGAAAAATAATTGCTTTTTCTAATGAAATCAACCGTAGTTTAATTGGTGCATTTGTTGACTTGAAACGGCTGACGAAAAGGAACAAAAACACTTATGCATCAACCTAATAATTGTGATTAATTAATTAATTGTGCCAGGTTGCTCCAGTTTGAGCGACGTTTACCCTAACTTTAATTGGATTGCAGTTATGATTCTGTCATGTTGGAAAGTTGGATAAAATTGTGCGTTTTCAAGAAGACCACTATTGAACCAAACGGTCTCACAAGAAATTCTATAGATCAAAACATCAATATACAGTGGCGGACATAAACTTCTTCAAACCCCAAAATAATTTCTTATTTCTCCTCTAACTTTTTTTTCTAAACAACCCTTTGAGCTAAAAGTTGGTTTAGACACGTAAAAACAAACATATTTTAATATTTTAAGTCAAAAAAACTCCGACAGTGTAGAGCCAAAATTTTGTTGACCGTGGTCCGATCGATTCCCAAAACACTCCCAATTTCTTTCTGACTCTTCTGTTGGCGGTGAAGACGAAGAACGTCCTCCCTTTTCTCCAACGAAATTTGCTTCTTCTTTCCCATATACCTAGAAAGAGTTTTAATGAGATTAGATTCAAAAGTCGGAAAAAAAAACCCAAAATAAAAACGAAATTTTAATGTTTTGTGTTGTTTTTATGAGGTGTGATAAGTCAATGTCGTTCGAGTTTAAAAAAATACCGACTGGGGCTACCAGTGGTGAATTTATCGCATACACGAAATATATCAATCACAATACAACGACACACACAATACTAGGCTATATCTTAACTTAACCCACGTCATGACAGACGGCTCCCTAACCCTAAGCTCAATGGGGAACTAAATAGCTTTTTTGGTGGTGAAGGGAAGATGACGATGAAGGAGTTTATAATAAAAAAGTTCAAAAAAAAGTTTTTCATCAGAGATATTTAGTTTTTTGACTTAAAATATTAAAATATGTTTGTTTTTACGTTTCTAAACCAACTTTTAGCTCAAAGGGTTGTTTAGAAAAAAAAGTTAGAGGAGAAATAAGAAATTATTTTGGGGTGTGATAAGTTTATGTCCGCCACTGTATATTTCTTACAAGCACTTACCTTCAGCATCCAATGTCAATGTGTTTCCTTCAACACTTTCGATCGGTCCTTCAGGTCGAATAACAGCTTGTGGTGGCCGAGAAGCCTCCGGTGGCTCAATCAACTCCAGCGTGTGCTCTGAAGAGTTAAAACTCTTTCAAAGATTTTTGTTTCATCTGCTTTAAGCCTAGTGTACTCCAGAATGAAAAAAAAAGGTGAAATTTTTAAAATCGAAAATTCACCAGCTCTGCCGTTGAAATCCTTGCCGGTGACAGTTGCACGAACGACAATCACTCCCGATTTCAACTGAAACAATCTCAAAGTGTGTTGTGATATCCAATTTGAATCTTGATTGCAGTAGAGAAAGCGTTTGTACCTGTACAAGTGTCAACTTTCGTCGATTGTAGGCTTTAGCGGTGGCTAGGCCCGTCCCAGCGATCACCTCCCATTGAAATGAGAGAGAAACGTTCTCAAAGGAGTCATTGGGATCTAGGAAACGTTATAATATATTAGGAAAAGGGATTTACAGCTATTTATACAGTGCGTTTCAAATTCTTAAACGCACCCTCTAAAATAGCGGATTTTGCATTTTGACCACCGATAGAAATCCGATAGAAAATTTATGGGGAATACTTGTCCGAGCTGTCTACAAGAATCGTCGTTAGTTTCAAGACGTTTCTACGCTTAAAGCAGCAAGTTTTTTTTTGGCCTGAAGCGATCTCGACGTCTCCGCTCTTCAACATCTCATCAATTCAATGCCAGACCGCATGTTTCAAGTAATTAATCGTTCTGGTGCGTGTACAGATTATTGGTTTTGATTTTTTACCTATGATTTTTAATTTATATCGATAAATAAAAATATTTTCATAGTGCGTTTAAGAATTTGAAACGCACTGTAGCTGTTTATAGCTGTTTTTAGCTGTTTTTAGCTGTTTATAGCTGCTTATAGCTGCTTATAGCTGTTTATAGCTGTTTATAGCTGCTTATAGCTGTTTATAGCTGTTTAGAGCTGTTTTTAGCTGTTTTTAGCTATTTAGAGCTGTTTATAGCTGTTTATAGCTATTTAGAGCTGTTTATAGCTGTTTATAGCTGTTTATAGCTATTTATAGCTGTTTATAGCCGTTTATAGCTGTTTTTGACTTATTTTCTTTAAAAACCAACCATTCTCAAAGTCGATTGTTAACTCGACACTTTCTCGGGGCAATGTCACGTTGATTGGGCCGGTGATTTTGATCGGAATCGAGATCGAAGTGATTGGAATCGAGTCGAACTAAATGGGGAAATAAGGAGAGGAAATGAAAAGGGGTTTTTTAAAGGGAAGTTTTATAGGCTAAAGTAAAACCCAAAATCTAGCTGATTCGATAGAAAATCCAGAAAATCGACCGAGAAACCTGCGAAATCCCTATTAGATAGAAAAATTAAGAACGAAAATAAATAAAACCGTTTAAAAATTTTGAAAATCAAAAACATCTGTATGAAAAACAAAGATTGCCAAGTCGGGGATTCGAACTGGAGAGCCCATTGGTTTTGGAAACAAGAACACTAACCATTACACCACGAGCGCTGTGGGAACCGAGCCGTTAACTGACAAGGAAAGGTCAACTGGCTGAGCCGGCCAATGCTCTGCGACCTTTACGGGGCTTAATGGCCTCTTAACGGCTTCCTGGCGGGCCAGGCTCAGCGCAGCCGTGGCCGAGTGGTACAGCGTTCGTTTCCAGATCGAGACCTCGCAAGTTCGATTGTTTTCTCTTTTGCTTTTTTCTTCAAGAAGTGCTAGCGAATATTTCTTGTTGGAAAAAACTTAACTTCAAAAATTAAATACAAAGAAAAAATCGAATTAGATGCTTCAAATTAATCGACGGGAGGAGGTTACTGGCTTCCCCTCCCGTCAAGGTTACTGGCTTCCCCCTCCCGTCAAGGTTACTGGCTTCCCCCTCCCGTCAAGGTTACTGGCTTCCCCCTCCCGTCAAGGTTACTGGCTTCCCCTCCCGTAAAGGTTACTGGCTTCCCCCTCCCGTAAAGGTTACTGGCTTCCTCGCTCCCGTCAAGGTTACTGGCTTCCTCGCTCCCGTCAAGGTTACTGGCTTCCTCGCTCCCGTCAAGGTTACTGGCTTCCTCGCTCCCGTCAAGGTTACTGGCTTCCTGCTCCCGTCAAGGTTACTGGCTTCCTGCTCCCGTCAAGGTTACTGGCTTCCTCGCTCCCGTCAAGGTTACTGGCTTCCTCGCTCCCGTCAAGGTTACTGGCTTCCCCGCTCCCGTCAAGGTTACTGGCTTCCTCGCTCCCGTCAAGGTTACTGGCTTCCTCGCTCCCGTCAAGGTTACTGGCTTCCCCTTCCCAACAGTTGATGGCGATTGATCAACATTACCTAATGGCTTTATATATAGAAAGCTATACCAGATGGAACGCAATTGTCTGCGCGCACAAAGAACACAGCACTACTTGGAAAGGAGAAAAATCCAAAATGGGGATCGAAATTGCGAGGGCTAGCTCTGGAACCGACCGCCCACCCCTTGGCTTGGAACTTGTCCGCAAGGAGGCCGCGAGAGGCCGCTAAGAGGCCGTTAAGAGGCAGCTAAGAGGCAGCTAAGACTCAAATGATCACAGAAAACTTTAGACACTTATAGCTCTTGACAGATTGTCATTTAGCAAAAAAAGGAATATAGCTTTGGAATCAGCATCAAATTGTGCATCGAATGGTAAAGATCGGAAAGCATTTCGCCGGCTCAGTCAACCATTTCCTTATCAAGAGTGCCCAGCAAAAACTTTTTTGTCAGAAAACTCGCGTTTTTCAGCTATTCAGCAGATTTTCATTACAGATTCGGTTTGGATTTTCTATCGGATTGGCTAGATCTCGTGATAATCAGAAATGTCATCTCGTGCTCATGTTATCTCTTGTTTTTTTTTCGCTTACCTTCTCTTGTCCGATCACATGATTGATATGAAAAAGGAATAAAAGGAGGAGAATTTTGTCAACTATCTGAATCGGAGACATTTATGCATCCTCTCCAACATTCAAACACTGAAATTTGGCTTTTTTTTAAACATTTGAATTGACTGAAAAAAAGGTTTATAACGTTTTTTTTGTTTTTATTGTTTTTTTATTGTTTTTTTATTGTTTTTATCGTTATTGTTTTTTGTTTTTTTTTTGTTTTTTTTTTAAAGTTATAAAGCTTAAAAGTTAGATTTTATATTTAGAAATTATTAAAGATTAAAAATTTTAGATTAGAAATTAGAAAAAGAAGCGTTTAAAGGTTAATAATAATAATAATATTATTATTAAGCATTTAACAAGAAAGTTAAATGTTTAAAGAAATTAAATGTTTAAAGAAATTAAATATTTAAAGAAATTAAATGTTTAAAAAAAGGAAAAAAGGAAAAGCTATTAATAAAGTTAAAGATAAGCTGTCATTTGGCAGCCACACTTAATCGGGGCCAAGAAAAGGACGTCTTTTGTCAAAAATCGTCAGGATTCAGATGTCATTTGGATAGAAGTGTACTCGAATGAACGTATCGCTTTGATCGAAATGGGGAAATGACGATCGGCGCTCCAGCAAAGATAAACAATGAATTGGAAAGTGAATTGGAAAGAAACAGAAGAATTTCCAGCGAATTTTGTTTAAACTGGATATCAGCCAGGCGTTTGGGCTTTTTAGAATTGTTTGATTTTGAGATTTTGAGAAAAAAGAAATTTTTCAGATTCTGCGTCGACTTTTCTTTGCAATTTCCCTTGTTCGTCCGACAATTTCTCGTAGTTTTGCTTCGTTTGCAACCCGGAACTCGTTCAGCTATTGACGCAAATTGGAAACGCTCGTCTCGAGTTCTTTCTAAATATTTAAATTTAATTTTTAATATCCACTTAAGAAAAATAAAAACTCTTTTATGATTTGATAGATCATTTTTGCATTCAACAATAGTATTTTAGCATTGAGCACAAAATAACTCATCACAAATTACCCTAAAGTCTCGAGTATAAGTTCTGCCTTAATTTACATTCGCTTTAATTGCTTTGAATTTCTTTTTGTTGGGTTTCTATACATTTTTATTGTTTTATAAACTTTTTGTTATTGTTTTTGGAGCGCGGGATACTACAGGGTGAGAGCCTATCACCATTGCTATTTGTTATGTGCATGGATACATCCAGACGATAGTGTTGAAGAAAACGCTGGAAAGGATCTCTTTCGACCGTCGACGATGCTCTGAAATTGTTATATTTAAAAAGAAGTTGTATTGATATATCTATTAACCTAACATCAAACGGTTAACTCAATTTGAGCGGAGTCAAAACTTGATCCAAAGGCACCCTTCCATTTTTTTGGCCACCTCTTCTTCTGTGCAGTCAATTTGCCCAAAAGCTGAACAAATTCAAAAACGTTTTTATATCAAAATGTAGAGGAGATCTTCAGCTTTCGAATAATACTCATATATATATCTTTTTCTTGATTTCGGTATCTTGAGAAATTTAGAACATAGTAAAAAACGCGCATTCATAACCGGACAACCCAATAAATGTTCTATTCTTTAAAGAAATTCAATCATTTTAGGGTAAACGCGTGCTCCTGTTAACGAGCAACGCGACAAAATCGAGGCCAATGTTTTACGAGAAACTCCGAGCGTTGAATTTCCCCCGAGCAATTGGCACCCCGCCCCGGTGGCTCGGTTTTAAAAAAAAAAAACAAAAAAAAAAATTTTTTTTTCAAAAATAAAAAAGATTTTTTTTTCCCGAAAACCCCCCGGCTTGTTACCCGGGCGTTTACCCAAAAAACTTGAAACAGGGTTTCGTCAAGTACTTTAAAGTCCTAATAACAATCTGTTTCACTATTGTATACGGAAAGTAAATGTATCAAATTGATTCATTTTCAAATGTTTAAATACAATTGAAAGACAGGCAGCTAAAAAGCTAAAAAGCTAAAAGAAAAAGCTAAAAACAGCCTGTTAGACAGCCGTCAATTTGCAAGCGAAAACCAAACAGAACTTATACTCGCGACTTTAGGGTAACTCATTCACTCATCGCAACTCATCTAAAGCTTTCCTCCTCACTTCACAAATCTCCGTACTTTTCCCCGTCGATCCTTCGAGCATGTCCGTGATCTAATCTTCATTTAATCAAGTCTATTTTTTTATCGTCTGTAAAAAGGAAGATCAGAAATCCTCCAAGATTGCCTGTGATTTGAATTTCATTTCATTTAACTAGACTAGTTTAGAATCCAGATCATAAATCAAGTTCAGGCAGCTTTTGTTGAAAAAGATTGGATCGAAATCCGGTCAAAAATTGGGTTTAGTCTTGCAGAAGAGGAATCAGATCAGTCGTGGAGTCCAGCTACATACAAAAGCCGTTTTCGATAAATCTGGATGTCACAAAATGTCATGTGCGTTCCAGCATTGACAAAAAAAAAATAGTAAAACTAATAGAAACAAGAAAGCTTTTTAACTATATAGCTTTGATTCTGATTCTACTTGTTAAAGCTGACCGCAGCCGGCTTCTGCAAGACCACGACCGGCCGTTCCTTAGTGACCTAGCTCCAGATCAATTCCTAGCATTCCTAGCGTTTTCCTAGTGAACTAGCCATCACTACGTTTAATCAATAGTCTTAAAAGACAAAAAGTTTATTCAGAAAATAGGAAACGAATGGTTAAAACCCGTTTTTAAAAAAAAGAAATCAAAGAAATCATAGAAATAAAAGATTTTCAAAGTCAAAACCGCTCCAGGCGGATAAATTTTGCCTTTTATTTCGCTTATTCGGCTTCTTCTCCATCTTCATCAATCTAAAAGTTTAATTTGAAAAGTTTGCCAAATTTGAAAACCAAAATTGCTGACTAAAAAAACCTCTTCTAGATCAGAAATGTTATCTTGTTGCTCTCCTCCATCATCTCCATCATCTAGCTCGGGCGCCAAGAAATATTGAAGCGGATTTGGCCAAATATCGTCTTTAATTAGCTGTAAACGGTTTAAATTGAACAGCTAAACAACGGCTAAACACCAAGAAATTTGAGCTTAAAGTTGAAGTGCAAAGGGGGCGGAGCCACGCGTATAAAAGGTCGGCCCTGCTCATTGGCAAACTTTAAACTCAAATTTCTTGGGATTGGTCCATTCAATTTCTATAGTTTTTATATCAATCAATAGAGAAAGACTTGCGGAATCTAATGATATCAAAAACATTTCAATTGAACAGCTCAACGCCAAGCTATTTAACCTTAAAGTTGGATTATCATCTGCCCCTTTCGACAAACTTTAAGCTCTAATTCCTCGGGATTGGCCCATGCAATTTCTAAAGTTTTTATATTAATCAATAGAGAAAGACTTGACGCATCTAATTATATCAAAAGTATTTCAATTGTCCACCAAGAATCCCAAGAAATTTGAGCTTAAAGTTCGATCATCAATGGCAAAGGGGCGGGGATCATTCAAAGAGCATTAATTGGCTCAAAATTGTCAGAAAATGCTAATGAAAAGCAATAACTGAACGTTAAAACGTTAAATCTTAATATTATTGTTTGTTTATTGTTGATTGTTTGCACAAAGATCAGGCTTACCTCAGCTAAATCATCAGCGCTTGGGTCAAGATCGGTGGTGAGCCAGCCAAAAAACGATAGACTCTGATTATCATCCTGAAATTTTTTGGGGTCACATTTGAAGATTTAAAGATATTCTAGATTTTCCTAGATTTCTGGAATCTTAGATGGTTGAATGAGAAAGATTTAGAGGGTTTTAAGGGGATTAGTGGCTTGTCTTAAAGAGATCAGTGGCTTGCTTTAGAGAGATCATTGGCTTGCTTTAGAGAGATCATTGGCTTGCTTTAGAGAGATCATTGGCTTGCTTTAAAGAGATCAGTGGTTTGTCTTAAAGTGATCATTGGCTTGCTGTAAAGAGATCAGTGGTTTGCTTTAAAGAGATTATTGGCTTGTTTTAAAGAGATGAGTGGCTTGTTTTAAAGTGGTCATTGGCTTGCTTTAAAGTGATCATTGGCTTGTTTTAAAGAGATCATTGGCTTGCTTTAGAGAGATCATTGGCTTGCTTTAGAGAGATCATTGGCTTGCTTTAAAGAGATCATTGGCTTGCTTTAAAGAGATCATTGGCTTGTCTTAAAGTGATCATTGGCTTGTTTTAAAGTAATCATTGGCTTGTTTAGTCGTTAAATTCTCTCACCTTTCCATTCTTTTTCCCTCCTTTCCATCGAATTTTTGTACTTTTTACGTTTTGTTCATCTCCACCAAGAATATATTCTTTTATAAAATGATCATTCTCAAAGAATTCATTTTCATCAAAAGTGAAAATGATTTTAAAGCCACTTTTCAAATCCTCGTTTTCTTCAACCTGAAAAATGAGTCGATTTTTTTGTTTCATAGAAATTTTAGGGAAGTTTTATTGTACTTTTGGATTGTTGTACCGTAATTAGAAATGTTTTTTTGATCTTAGAATTGTCAAGAAAGTCAGGTAAAGGTTTAGGGAAAAAGTTCGGGTAAAGATTTGAGACTTTCAATTAAGGCTTTCAATTAAGGCTTACAATAAAGGCTTACAATAAAGGCTTACAATTAAGGCTTACAATTAAGGCTTGCAATTAAGGCTTGCAATTAAGGCTTACAAGTAAGGCTTACAATAAAGGCTTATAATTAAGGCTTACAATTAAGGCTTATAATTAAGGCTTTAAATTAAGGCTTTCAATTAAGGCTTACAATAAAGGCTTACAATAAAGGCTTACAATTAAGGCTTACAATAAAGGCTTTCAATAAAGGCTTATAATTAAGGCTTACAATTTCTCTGAGACAGTCTTTTTATACTCAAAAGATCGACCTCAATCGATTTGAGATTGGAAAGCAATTCCTCTTCATCCTCATCGATCATTGTCGAGATTTGTGGATGGTTGATGAGCTGGAAATTTTGCTATTCTCTAAATCATATCCTCTTTCTATTGTAATCTTTTCATTTTATCGAATCTCACTATTTCACTGTCATTTGTAGCCTTTGATAGACAAAGATTCGAAAAAAAGAAATTT